ATAATGTAAAACGTTTTATTTGTGATGGACAGTATGACTTTGTACGTGGCCGATCTACAGTGGCTAATTTAGCAGATCTTACTGATTTCCTGGTTACGTCGTTGGATGATAATGTACAGCAGGTCGACGTTGATTACACCGATTTTTCAAAAGCATTTGACCGGCTTAATCATCAGATATTATTGAATAAATTTCATTATTACAGTTTTCCTCAATCATTTGTGGATGTAACAAAATCGTATCTTTATGGTAGAGTATTTTTTTATGTTGATCACCTGGACTTTTCGTCCTCCAGTTTTACAGTAAATTGCGGTGTTCCACAAGGTTCAAATCATCAAATCTTGGTCCCTTGTTGTTTTTGCTCTTTATAAATGACATAAGAACATCTGTTAATGTTCGCTCACTATTGTATGCTGATGACATGATGGTATTCTGTAATATTCACACTATTGAAGACTGGTATAAACTTCAAAAGAACATAAATTCTCTCAAAAAATGTTGTTTGGAGAACAAATTAAGACTAAACATCCAAAAGTGTAAAAAATTAAGTACGAAGATTCCATAGATGGAAAGCTTATAACAAGATGCACTTCTATCAAAAATCTGGTTTGATCTTCATATTGATTTCATCAAGAAATCTGCTCTGAAGCTTCTTGGCTTTGTTATTCGTTCTTGTCGAAACTTCACTGATATAAATTGTTTTATCACCCTATTTTTTGATCTTGTAAGATCCCGTTTAGAGTATGGTGCTACAGTTTATATATTGTTAATATTGAATCAGTGCAGAGAAGAATCTTAAAGTTCATGGCCTTGGTAATGATATTTTATGCAGTCGTTTTAGTGTTATTTGATTACAATGTAGGCGTGATGTGCTTTACAATAGGTTCCTTTATAACTTGCTGCGCAACAGAATCAATTACCCACAGCTTTAATCTTCTCTAAATTTTTGCGTTCCCATGGTTCGGTTGATATCGGCTCAGTATTTTTATATTCCTAAACCAAATACAAATGTTATAAGGTATTCTTCAACATTTAACAGCTGTTGTATTGGCAGTATCTCTTCAGACTATTCTGAGTTTTATGCAATGTCTCTCTTGTGATTGAAAAGTACCATTTGCTTCTAGATCCTGTTATCTATTCCATGGATGGATGTCAGGTAGTGATCCAAAATTGGGTCAGTTGTCGTTGTATGAGTTTCTGACATACCACTAATCACCTACACGTAAGATACCACTTTGCTATTCCACTGTTTCGAAATACTTCTTCTTTTTTTTACCTCAAAGTATTCTTTTCTTTCTTTAAAGCTGGCTTATACCTCAGAGAATAAGAAAGTTTTGTCCAATAACATGGGACCAATTTTTGAATGTTTATTTTTTTTAAGATTTTTTTTTTCGGTTCTAACAAATACAATATGGGGCCACATGGATTTTTGCAGCAATTAAGTATGTATTCCAAGTAATCCCACACTCGGTGTAACTTGGAACAACCGTATTTAACTTGTTTAAACATATATGTATTTACATTAACATACACTTGCGAGCATTGAAATCGGGCCACAAATCGGGCCACTATTCACATCTGACTTTGAATCAAATTTTCCACCGAACTCTATCACACTTAGGGCCGGTTGCATAAACGCAAATCAAATTTAATCTCTGATTAAGAACAATTGTAACTATGATAATAACAATCGTTACTATGGAGTTAATCAGAGATTAAATTTGATTTGCGTTTATGCAACCGGCCCTTAAAGAAACTAAAAAAGCCTTTAGAAAGAACAGATGTTTGTCTTTAAAACAGAGTTACGAAAAACTTCATGAAATTGTTTTGCATATTCTTTTGTGGGCAAAAAAAAAAGTTGTTCAATAACGAAATTTTTTATGTTAACAAAATCAACAATTTAAAGAAGAAAATGATGTTAATATTCCGTGTTGCCACCCCTAGCTCTAATACGCTCGCATTCGTCTATTCATGGACTCAATTAAGGTGACGACAACTTCTTGCCCATTCTTCTTTAAGGCCTATTCTGAGCTCTTGGAGTGACCCAGGAGCCGAGATCCTATCTGTAATTCTTCGTTTAAGTTCATCCCACAGATGTTCTATAGGATTCATATAGATATAGATATAGATTTTGAATAATTTTCATTTAAAGTCAGATTTGAATAGTGGCCCGATTTTAATGCTAGCAAGTTTATATGTAAGGATATTTTATTATTTGGAATGCATTCTAGGTCACATTTGATTAGATGGAGTGCTTTTACTTCAGAAAATTGTAATTCTTTCAAAAAGTATAGCAAACCAAAAGTCAAAATCGTTCACAAGAAGCCCCGGTTGACGGTACTAGAGTTGTTGGTATAACTTTGTGCAGTTACCAAGATTAGAAAAAGATTTCTCACCTACTTTCTCATATACATTGCAAAAGTTAAATTTTTGTGAAGTCAAAAGAAAGGGTCGATTACTGAATCCCAGACAAAGGAGCTTGTCATTTTACACCTTTTAAGTAAGATTTAGTAAAATGTTATTAATACTCTTTTTAAGCCCGTTTTTAAAGGCATATATGTATAAAAACCTAATTTTTCAAGCATTTTGCTTTGTTTTTAAAGTATATTAAAAAAGTTCCAATTTCAAGGCATTTCGATCTGTTTTTAACTTTGTACTATATGGGCCTGTTCAGCATGCAAGTCATTCAATGGTTTTTACTTTGTTTTTAAAGGTATATTTAAAAAGCAAATATGTATTTCAAGGATTTTGTCCTGTTTTTAAGGTACTTATACTTTATATTTACTGATACTGTTAAGCCAAAGAAGCCCCATTTTAATACTTTTACATAATTAAGTAAGATTCAGACTATCTTATGCACATCTTATTAAAAAAATATAAAAAACAAGTTAGTGATATACAGGGTGTTATTGAAAGGTAAGTAGAACAAAATTGACAGTTCTTCGCGAAGTCCAAGAAGTCTAAAAAACTTATGTTGTGTTATCAAAATTATAAGGGGAAAATTAACCCTTATCCAACCTTTTTAGACGCTACTGAAGGATAAATAGGTAAAATTAATTTATTTTAGTAAATCCTAGCAACTGTAACAATAAAGCTTTTGTCAAGACTAAACGTTGCTATAGAAACGAAAGATGATCTTTTTTTCAGAGGCGTACAACGAATTTGGACATAGATTTTAATAATTTTTATCTCTAAAAGGAGAACACTTTCATCTGAACTTTTTTTTACGTTTAGCACCCATACTTCGAGATCAATTGCCGATTTTATTTTGTACATACCTTTCAATAAGACGCTGTATTAGTTTCCGCAGTCACTACTACTGCTACTGCCACTGGTACTTGCATCATCGGAGCAGCAAAAAAAAATCATCTCAATTTTTTTTGGTTGTATCTACTTACTGAAATAACTCTCCTAACGAAGTTATGAACATCTTTCTTTCTTCAACATTGTTAAGTTTTATGACTATCAAATCAAATAAACGTAGAACGCCCTTGCTTTTAATGGTTATTTGTGTACCATTTTCGGTCAAATATAAGACCTTATGTTTTCACATTTAATATTACAAAAACTGTAATCAGTTTCAAAATCATAATTATGAAACCTGATAAAGTCAGTCCAAAAACGAAGTCGAATGAATTTATTTAACAAAATTCTCAGGTGGTCCAATAGATTTAAATTCGAACAATGAATAATGAAAATCAGATGGACCATATCTGAAAATTAATTCATCATATTCGTATGAAATTGCTTTAATATCATTTCTGTATCGAAAGACACCATTACCATCAAATGGAACGCCGGGAAATAGTTTTCATTCATTCAATTCAATATAATACTCCTAACAATTGTCATAAAATATAAAAGTTCGTCCTATGTATGACTTAAAAATTGTTTGTTTGTTTTTTTTTTGTCGCTAGGTAGTCCTAACGCATGATAGTCATGAACGTTTTGAGAATGTATTAATTGAAAACTAGGAAAGTCTATGAAATAAAATTTATTTTCATCTAAATTACAACCTCTCCAGAACATTTTTGATAGTTGCGAGAGATTTCTTTGGCAAACGGTAAATATTCAGATATTAATTTTGGATCGTTATATCGTTTGTCATTTATATTCATTATCCAAACCCATTTTATTTTTATGAAATAAGTACAAATGATGGTTTAAAGTTATTAATAAATTATCTAGATAATTTATAGAACATAAGTCAGGTAAATTCGGTTATAAAGACACTTTATTAGACTTGGCTGAATTTGGTTGTTTTGTAGTAGCATATCTACTTGTCAATGGCTTAATATTTAATTAATTCATATATTAATCGTTCAGGTCTTCCATATAAATAATGAATTGCCCACATATCATCTTGAGTTAAATTTATCGATATCACCTTGAATATTATAGGCGCACCTATATAACAGAATTATTATTTGCAGAATGTTCTATTTTAATTAATTTAATAGTTATATTTGGTCTTTCTGTTAAATTTAATCTTATATTACAATGTATTCTTTTTTCTTTACAACTTTGGAGTTTTCTCTATTTGATTAGGTGATAAATATACTCTGTAATCATTATGGGTTCTATCCAGTTTGATTTGCAATAATATGTCTAATTTTAATGGCAATTCTATTTTCAGTCGTCTAAAATTTTGAAATGTAACAAATATAAAAAAATACAGTAAAAGAAAAACTCAATTAAAACTATGAAAACGGAAATTTTCAAAATCTAAAAATAACACAACCATGCTTAGACACGCGTACTTTAGTAAAATAAGCATAAAAAAAGTAGGGTTGCCATGTATAAACAATGTTGGTGTAACAATATTACAAATATGATTTTCGTTGGCATTTAACAAAGCAAAATTTATGCATTTTGATGAATAAGTAAAACTCTTACATCTGTCTACCGTTATTTTATAAATTATTTTATAAAAAAAACCTTCGTATTTTTTATTATTACTTTAAAAAAAAGGGCAATCAAAAAAATACTATATATAGGTCTAACAATTTTATTGCAATTGATTACAGTAAACGTCGCTTGAAAGAATTCGCCGAAAATGGGTCAAATGTGAGTAATTTGTGTACATACAATGGTTTAGACAAAAAATGAATTATTGACAAAAGCGCTAAATTAACGGGACAATGGACTTGTTTATGAGAGCGATAAATTTTTATTGCCCTTGCAGAATTGGCATCCTTTTGTCGAGCACGATAATTGGGGATGAGAACGATAAAACTTTCGTCGATGGAACTGACGCACCTGCATTTATGGTGTGTGTTTGTTTTGAACCCAAATTTTAATGCTTAGGAAAGTCCGAAATATTTCCTACTCTACTTTAATTCGCACCTTTTATTAGACAAATAAATAAGTGATTACAACAATTTTTCTTAAGTACAGATTATGTATAGGTACATAAAATAATACTTAATTTGAGCAACTGACAATTATTTTTAAATGAATAATACATATTCGCTTCCACAGAACACTACAACTTTTTAAAGAGAGCAATAATAATTTTATTATAACACTAACCTATATCTAACGGCTTCTGTTTAAACTTTTCATCTTACAAGTAGGCACAAAGAGAGCGTTATCTGCTTCTACAAAATTACTTTATAGGTAACTAACTGTAACGTATACAATAACGACAATAACATAATAAGTTAACAATATTATTTACGTTATTTATTTATTTACTGAGCATGAAAAGAAATGTTAAACATGACTTTCTTTGTACGGTCATCATTTAACTAATTGCACACGAATGTATCACGTCACAAATTTAAAGAAGATAATCTCGAAAGTGCTTTGTCCTTACATTTTTATCTGTAAAACAGTGTTTCGTTTCCTACATAAAACTACTAAAAATTATGTGAAAATTGAAATTAAGGACTTCCATAAAAAATGTCAGTTAATTTGATAAAATTACAACTTCAAGAATGTCCCAGATTCCGTGTTGCAGAAAATATCTCATTTATTACTGGAATATCACAAAGAGGTAGAAAACGGCGGCTAGAGAAAATATACTGTAAGCATTTTTGCTCATTATAAACAAATTTTATTAGATTGATTTCCGTTTCAAATTTATATCACACGATATTTTTCTTAAGTAAGTCGTTTCGGCATTTTTCTCAAAATGTATTTACATGTCACGACATGGCCATAATAAATTTCATAAAAAAATAATAGAACTATTTAAGTCTTTACTCAGAAAAAAACAATCTATTCAGTTTCCAAAAAATATTTAGGGTATCAGTCAAATAGTTTGGTAGAGCGGATTTGGATTGAAGTGACAGAACTTAAGTAACGGATTTTTTACCACTTGAATCACTTTTGACCTCTCTGAAGTAAAAATCTGACAGAATTACGTTTCTGTGAACATTTCTTCAATTTACTTAGTCAAATATACGCCTAGAGTGTAGGAGGAAACCTGTAAAAAAACCTTCCATTTTATGCAATCTGCAAGTCAATATCCAAATAAATTTGAAAGATTTTCGTTTAACGTTTCGACAAAACACTTGTTAGAGTGGAAAAACTTTGAGAAGGAGACACCAATAAGGCGTCCCAATCGATGTAAAAGAGAATTTAGGGAAAGTAACTATACTGGTTTGATCCGTTTGGTTTAACAGTGTTTCACTTCGTCTTAACTAAACTAACTGAACATGTTCTTCTCATAGCATTTCCACTAAAGTTATTGTAAATACACTATAAAAATCCCAACTGAAAGAAGATTAAATTAGCAACGTTGCTTATATTGTTCTTCTTTAATTCTTTTTCTTCTATAAAATAGCATAGAGTAACAAATTCTGTGAAAATACACTACGTATCTTTGTTTTTAAATGGCAGTGACGAACAAATGAATTTTCTAACGAAGTACATCTCGATACGTTACATACATTTAAAAAGAGCACCTTCTATTGCTTAAATTTTACTCTTATCACTTTAACCATAGTAATTATTTTGTTCTGCAGTTTTGTTAGTAACTTTGGCGATTTTTGACGATCTTCTTTGTTTAGTTTTCGGTGGACAAACATCATAACCTTGAGGAATACAATTTTTAACTAGAAGAGTAGCAGTTGCTCTATTGTTGCTTTTCACTTTGGTCACAGTGACTGTCGTTGTTTGATATACCCTTCTCCTAGTATACTGAGGGAGAATAGTTTCCAGTTGATCGAGTCTATCTTCAATAAGCATGTCTTTAATTTCATCCGAAGATAAAGTCGGTGTTTTTGACTGCTTCATAAAGGGCCTAGGTTCTTCGCTACCTTGTAAATACAATCCTAATCCATCTTCAATTTGTTGCAAAGGTACTGTCTGTCGAAACTTCCTGTCCTTAACAAATAACTCCTTAGTTACTAAATTATCAAGACTACTAGCTTGTGAATTAAGCGATTTGCACATCGATTTTTTACCACTAATTTTAACACACACGGGATTTTTGTACACGTACTTAGTCACAACATTTATCACTTTGGTTGTCAATACTGGTGATGGTTTAATTGGAATACTGCTCAAGTAAGGCAAGGATAGCGATGGTAATTGATTCATGTAATTAACTGGATTGAATAATTTGTTGCAGTCACGGTAGGTATTACTTTGCACGTTAATCGTGAACAATGTAACAACACACAATAAAACCAGTAACATTTTTACAATAGAATGATTCGCTCGACATTTGTGCTGTAACTGATTGGAGAGTGAAGACTGCGACTTCTTTATAACTTTTCCAAGTAGACCACCAGATGCAAATTAGAAAATGGTACAGGCTCTCGTGTCAGGTATTGTTCGGGGAAGGTTGGACAATTGTGATCCAAAAGAACCTATACATTGGTTATATTTTCAAAGTTGACCTCAAAAACCATTAGGTACTATTTATTATTGAAAAGTTATTGAGAAGCTAAATGACACTGCGTCAGTAAAGTACAATCCCATGACAGAGACGTATTTTAAAACAAAAACAAAAAAACACAAAATAACAAATTTTTCACTATAAATTGATATTTTATGTTCAGCTACTTTTGTAAATGTTGTTTCCATTTTTTTCCTGTGTATAAAATGGATAAATGTATAAAAGTTTCGTATAAATAATAATAAATTGTACGAAATAGGAAATTTGCTTCGTTCAGCGAATCTCTATTAATGTTTACCATATGAACAATATCATTATCTCATAAGAAAGTCACACACCATTTTTATGCGGATCTACTCGTATTATTATATTGTCAATTATAGCAATTACAAATGTTCCACATTTCATATGCTGCTCCATGAGGTCGTGATCTGAGTCCTATTTAATTGACATTAGCAAATATTTAACAAAATGACATTATATTTTTATCTCAACAACTAAAAATCCATTACCTTAATAAAGTGAAAAATCTGGGCTAATTTACAATAAACAAGTGTTGAGAAATAGGTCAGACAAATGGTCCTCACTGAATCAAACAATTGAAAGAACAATAATTTTTCTGTTTGCTCGAATTATCACAACCACAATTGTACAAAAAGAACGTGTGAAGACGGTTTATTAATGGGTGCGCAATTATTATTTTGCTTTTCTAAAGAAAACCATAAAACGGAGAAAATGGTATCGGCATAATAGCTACCAATAAAATCATTATGGGCTTCGTTAGCCCACTTGAACACAATATTTTTGTTATTAACGAGGTTAGTCAAAAAGCAACTGTGTAAGTACACGTGTGATGCATTCATCTTATTACAAAAAGCCATTTTTTAAAGATAAAGGAAAGTGTTGAAAGTTTGGTATATTGTTATATTTTAATAATACCCACTGAATTCCTTTATCAAAATATAAACAATTAAAAGAAAATTTTAATTAAGCGTTATGGAAATGAATATAATGAATACATTATAAGCGTTTTGTTCGCACTACAGTTTTAAACAGCGGTTACTTAAATAGTTTTATAATAGTTCGCGTGGATGCTATTAAAGAACAAAGGAAACTAATTTAAAATACAAGAATAATTTTGTAACAACGTGATCCAAACCGCGACAATAGTGAATTGTTAATTTTCTTTAAAATTCGTAAATGTTTCATTCCGCTTTAAAATGGAGCAAAAATAGTATATTACATATCGAGGGTGGTAAGAAGCTAATTACGAACGAAGTTTATACACGAGCGAGCGTAGCGAGCGAGTGATGTAATATGAGTTCGTAATTAGCTTACCACCAGAGTTGTGTCATATACTTTTTCTACGATCTATAATGAAGAATCACTTTCAAAAGAAATTTTTTTAGGAAAGCAAATATTTATAGTTGCTATGGAAACTACCCAAACAGGCACGTAATATATATATATTACGTGCCTGTTCATTCATTACATGCCAGTGGGTGTAACTATGGTTTTACTATGAGGCTAGACAGTTCGTAATTCATGGATTACTATGTGGGAGTAGAAAAAATTATTTACCGAACCTCGGTCTCTAAATATAAATAGAGCAGGCATCATCAAGGCAAAAATATCAACATGTATATCATAATGCCTGACATACTTTTTATAATACACTTATTTACGTTAAACGTTTCACTATATCATTTTTAAAATTATTCTATCCACTCTAATTCTGAAAAATACCATTTTCATTATTTAAATTATTATTAATTATTAACAATCAAAATTAAGTACCTTCAACATAGAACGATATTACGTTCGTTAACGTAAGCTAAGAAAGTGTTGTAAAAAGGTACATCCGGCAAATGGCTACTTTCATGTTTTCTAGACATTTTACCCTATAGTATAATTTCTAATAGGTGTCCCGTTTCACTTTGTCGTCTGTATAGATTTTTATTAGACAGTGTTATTTAGAATTTAGAGATTGACACGCTCAAGTACTTCTGGTTTATGAATCCGTCATGACTCCTAGACAACCAGATTTTCCCCAAAAAAAGAAATCAAAAATGGATAATCACGTCTTATATTAATATAAAAAGAACGTTCGTCAACTTTGTGTGCTTTGAGAGGTGATGCTGCTTGGGCTTAATTAATATGATTTTACTTGTTTAGAAACTGATTATTGAAAATATCTTACAAAGTAATGTATCAGCCCATATCTCCAACACCACATATTATAAAGTCAAAATTAATAACGCCATATCATCCGGTATTTAATGTACTTCAGAGGTTGAGAAGGATTTGTGTAAATAATCTTTTTTTAGTTATTTTGTTATTATTATTATTAATTTTCATACCAAACATTTGTTATTTGAGAGTTGTATACAAAACTTATTAAATACCACAACAAGTTTAGTATTTCCATTTATCTCTTAAGTGTGTTTGACCAATAAACCAATATCGTGTACCTGTCTGCTTGTCTACCTGCAAATACGTTTCTTGATAAAGCAAGAAATTCTTGAGATAAAGAAAACCCCTAACACCGGACAAAACCTATAAATAAACCCTGATCGAGAAAATATTTCAGTGAAAACAATAACCTGCTTCAGCGCGTTGTTTACTCAAAAACACCCGTTAGAAATGTTAAAGTTTGTGAATCTACTATGTTTATTATTTATTTACTTCAATAATTCAACAATTTCAACTACAGAAGAATTACGAGGTCGTGGACGCTTATTTCGCAACACATACACCAAAGTAGTCACCGTATCGCAAGTGACGACATCATTAATACCATCTTCATGTGTTCGAGTTGAGGCAACACTACCACCTTGCAGAAATGTGCGATATTTGAAATTCCCACAACTGCCAACATTTTCGTAAGTATATAATACGATGGTAGTATTGTATTTAATTTTATTTTTGGATTTTAACAGTATCAATCGTCCCACCCAAGTAACCACAACAAATGAATCCGCTGTAGAAACCACTCCTCTGGGATGGGGTGAATATTTCGGTCTTTATGCTCCAACAGTGACTGTAACGACTACGGATCTTCATATTTCGACGGTCCAAGATCCTTCAGTGGTAGTTACCTTTGTTGTAAAAGGGTGCAGGCCTTTGAAGTTACCCATGGATCTGGACAGATGTCCTCAGGAACAGCCACTTTCGATTGAAGAAGCGTTGCAAACGTCGACAGTTTCACCTGTTGTAAATACAGCTGCCCTTTTGCCAACGAAAACCATGTCGGGATTGCAACCAGAGAGCACTGCTGTTTTTAACGGATTAGATTTGCCAGAAGAGCCCAAGGTCCAAGAAAATTCAAATCTTCTTGAACCATCGATGGACGAAGTTAGGGAAAATGGTCCTGTCCAACCAACTGAGACTCTCGTCAACACATGATAACCTTAACATTAAGAAACAAATTATTTTTAAAGTGATGAAAAAATAACCTAATTAAGTGAAATATTTGATTAATATGATAATTTATTAAGTTTTAATCAGGGAATAAGACTACGTTATTTACGGATTTTTTGACGTGAAGTTGTATTTATTGTGTATGTATTAAAATAATTTCTAATAGAATGCTAACTGTGTTACACTATGACTTTATTTATTTATTTTCTAGTATTATATTACAATTTAGAATAATGATTAACAAAAATTTTCTTACACATTACACATCAAATTCTATTTTAGATGCTTTAATAATAAATCTGAAATAACTATTCTGTTTGAACCATGGTTTACCGTCAAGTTTGTGACATCAGTGATATTTTTTAATAGTAAACATTTTAACATAAGTCTGTATAGAGAACTAAAATTACATGCAAATTAAACCAATTTTGTAAAAAAAAATAGAGGTAAAGAAATTTTAGAGCTTCATGTTTAATGCTATGAAAATCATATCAATTTATTTAGAATCCGAGTGTAATAGGGTCCATCCGGCGAGCGACTGCTTCCATGTTTTCTCGACGTTTCATGACCCTTAGAGTACGAAAAAATAAGTAGCTCGTTTCTGCCTGTCCGTCTATCTATCTGTCTGTCGTCTGTGTAGACTCCGGGTATTAAATGAGATAAATTTATGTAGAATAGTCTCAAAAATTTTCGCAAAATTACAGATTAACGATATAGGCCGATAATTTTCAATCATAGTTCTATTTCCAGATTTAAAGATAGGTGAGATGATAGACAATTTCCACACATCTTTTGCCTATCTCCGCATAAAAATCCAGATCCCGGTCGATCTGTCGAAGGATTGATTTTTTTCTATTGGACGTAATCGGTCATTTACTACTGTTCACATGACTGGCTATGCTATTATCAATATCACACTCTACTGTTCAATTATCCTGTATGTAATAAGCACTCGCAATTCTCAAAGAGCGAAATTACAGAAATCTTCGTTCTACTGCAGTCAGCACCCATTCTTCTTGTTGTTGTTGTTGTTGTTCTTCCTCCTCTTCTTCTTTTTCTTCTTCTTCTTCCTCTTCTTCCTCTTCCTCTTATTCTTCTTCTTCTTCAGACTATCTCATTCTTGGTCGGCCTACTGTTCTGCTTTCCATCGGTGACTTATCTCTGGCAAACTCTTATCGCTCTGTACTCTGGCATTCTACTAATATGGCTGTTCCATTCTCTCTTTCTCCCTTCAACGCTGTGATAACCCAAACTTCCCGCCTTTAAATTTTGACCTTGAAACAGTTTGAAAGGCCCGCGAAAAATTCAAAAATTCAAAGTTTGGCCTTGGCTGTGATCGTCTAACTAATGAGAACCTACGTTGTGTGTTTTTTTTTTTTTGTGGTTTTGAAAAATGGCGGGAAGAAGTTCTTTCATACAAGTGCATACACTGTCGAGAGCGCAAGAAATAATTAACAGAAATTGTTTTGGAGGGGGGGAAACGGCACCACCCTCACAGGGGGAAATACGCTGCGAAGATTTACCCCTCAGCGCAAAAACCCCCTTGGTTTTATTCCCGGGCGACATTTTATTACATTTCAAAACCCTTAAGATATGTGAAAGAAAAACACTCGCGAATTGACTGGAAGAAAAACACTCGCGAATTGACTGGAAGAAAAACACTCGCGAATTTACAGACATACACATATGAAAAACGAACAAATGGAAAATTCTATAAATCTGTTTGGAATCAATGCAAATATTTGAATATCATAAGTTTAATAAACAAAGCAAAAACTGAATCAAGTAACTGGATGCAAATACACAAGTTATTACAGGCGTGTGGCGGCCGATCTCTTTTCCCTTTTTTTTTTGTTACGGCAGTTAACAGGAGCACAACAAAAGTACCCCTGGAGCGTTGTAGCATAAGAGGAGTCTGAGCTACCGGTCTGGAACTGTTCTCCCCCCGCGACGATGATTCTATCTATCGCAAAGCCTACCCCACACGCATATCCCATGACGAACTTTGCCCTGCGGAACTAGGCCATTACGGTCGTCCAACCCGCAAAGATCTCGACTATTGGGCCAAATCGAGAAATTCACAACGTCGGCGGCCGCCCCCTGAATCTATCCAAACCTGTGGACTTGTACAGGTGGCGCGATAAATCTCGCCAGCTCGACTAGGAACCAAACCTCGCTTCTGCCACGTTTTCTGTGTCATTTAACCTCAATTCCATTTTAAAACATTCATCAATCTCTTATAACTCTGATGTTAACAACAACTGAACAAGTGTTAAAGTTTCAAAGAGCAATAAACAACATTTAAATTCGCCATACAATCTTGTGAAATCTTAGACAACAAATAATTCTTATGTGGGATTAAAGTTGGGCATCAAATAATTTATATGATAGAAAACATTCATCAACAAAGTATTTACAAAACAAAACTTAGCAAGGATTTATGAGACGAAAGATCTGGTGTGAAATAAACTTGTACAAATAGAAATGTTATGTGAGGTTAGAACTGTAGAACATGAAATTTACGTTCAATTAAATTTATACAACAAATAAAATTACTGAGGTTAAGATTGTGAGATTAAGAAATATAGTACGATGTGAAAAATTGCAGAGTTAACATAATTTACAGGAGATTAATATTTGCCACACTTCATTAACAGTTCAAACAAAGAGTTTACATTATGCCAAATTATATCATTAAGTGATTGGTTACTTCAGAAATAATTTACTTTGAGAGTTTAAAATACTACGAACTGGTTACCCCAACAAAACACATAATAAACAAATACAAAAATATCCAATCATCGCTCCGAGGGAAAAAACGTCTCGGTGATGTATCCAAAATCGTTGCGAGGAAAAAGCGTCTCGGTAACGTAAATTTTCTGTAGCGTTGGGGGCATGCCTTAATTAATTAATCAATCTGGCGTTGCGAAACATGCCCCGATGAATTAATCGTGATAACGATGATAACCACCTAAGGGGAGAAAATATCATAACCCCCCGCCAGTCCGCAGTATAATGAACTTGTTTAACTGCCGTAAATGAACTATTAGCAATCTTGTGTGAAGAATTTAGAAGTGTTATAATGTAACACTTACGTATATGCATCCAGAGACCTATTCGTAATTAAACATAAGGTGTTTTTCCTGACTAAGTGAATTTCATGAAATCTTCCAGCAAATGGTTAATTTAAATAATCCTGATTGTTAAATTGTGTTTGCACTAGCTGACTATTAAGAAAAAGTAGCTTGATTTGTGAATTTTCAAACAAAGAACAGATTCACAACACGTGTTCGCGTCCGACCGGAAGTCTGCAATTTTCGATTAAAAGGGCGCAAGAATTTACCGCGCGGGTTGGGGACAACTGTATCATTATGAAAAATACGTTTGATCGTCGTTAAACAAAGGCTTCCTCCCGTTTTATTAACTACCAAACCAACTAATTTAAACCTAGCTCTTACCACGTGGTTACACTTACACGAAACACACCAGAATGACACATTCTACCGCCATGCCGCTTTTCTACCAACCCTCTAACTGAAATTACCCTAGCGCTACGTGCTGCCATCTAACCCAAAGATCATGCAACTAACTCCTAAGCGCTACGTGCATTAGACCATCCATGCATATTTGGTTGCCTATGTTTAAGGAGTTCCTTTTCGTGATTGAACCTTTTTTTTCAAATTCAAATTATTCAAATGCGATTTCGCGCCGCTGTCAATTAATTTCAGCGCGAAAACTTTGATTTAAATTCGGTCACCACAACGCATTCATTTATTTCTTCTATCTTGCATATATCCTTTATTTCTTCGCCCCGTACTCTATCCAGTGCGATCTTATCCGCTATCCATCCACTATCCTTCTCAATAGTCTCATTTCAGTTGTTTCTAATATATATTTTGTGAACTCCTAGTTTCTCGCCTTATTTCCGAAGTGCATATCATTACAGTCTTATTCCTAGTCTTCACCTCCATTGTCAAAAATCTGTTCCTCCAGATTGTGTCGTTAAGACATCCTGCAACTCTGCTTGCTTTGTTTGTCTGCTGCGATACTTCTTCTACTTTTCCTCTACTGATATTCTTACTCCCAAGTAATATGTTTCCATAATGTATGTACTCTACTATTTTATTTTCTACTGCTAGTTTGCATCTCACTGAATCTTTAGAAATTACCATGGTTTTAGTCTTTTCAGTGGCAATTTCCATGTAAGTGTTTATTTTTGCGATTAGGCTTTGTTCTCTTTATGTATGTTCTCTATCGTTTTGACCATGTCTAGTGAAGTTCCTCTCTCGTGCAGAACATGTATGATGTCTTCGATCGATAGATTTGTGATCTTATTTTGAACATCATTAGCATTATTTCCGTTCTCCAGTCATCTGGTACTCTGTTGGTTTGCACTATTTTCTGAGTTAGAACTTTAAGTTGTTAAGAAAGACTCCCTCCTCCACATTTAAGAAGTCCATTTATTATTTTTCCCTATCTTGGAGATATTCTATTTTTTAGCTTCCTTAAGTTCCTTCCAACGTCTTTTCTCTTATTTCTTTCATTTCACTTCTCTGCTGCCGTATCAATCTTCATATCTGTTTCTGGTGGCTATAAAAGTCTAATTCTATTTTATTTATAAATTTCTCCCAGTGGTGTATTTTTATTCTTCTGACAAGATTATTAGTTTTAGTTCTAAAGTCTGTTATAGTGTTCGTATGCTCCGTTTGTTCTTGTTAACCTTCATCTCAGACATATCGACTATGTCATCCACTTCCTCTAAGTAATTTGTTCTAATTTCTTTTCTCTAATCCCGTTTGGTACAGCTCCTTTGCTGATTCGTCCTATAAATTTTATATTTTTTATCTTGGAAAACTTGGTTTACAAATTAAACAAAAAAAGACGAAATATATGATAATGGGAAACACAGGAGAAGACAAAGAAAATCAACGAGTAATATCCCAAACAGGAAAAGAATATAAATTCGAAAGAATCAAAAAATGTAGGTATACATAAGGCTAATAATAGAGGACAATGGAAATATTGCTAATTTTGATATAAGTTATATGTGGTTCTTCAAGGACGTTATATAGTACAATATCCTTGAGTATGCTGTACTGTTTTAAGTGAAGACCACCATATGATAGAAAGTGTCTCAAAATTAACTTTTATTTGCATAACAATAGACACAATAAAAGTAACTTTATTAGTTCAGACTTTTATATGCTTTTATTTTTTAGACTAATGAAATTAGGTATTTCATTTGTTATTTATTTATTAAATAGCGAAACTAATAGGGTTATGTGGAGCTATTTTTTAGATTACTTTTGTTAATTTAAAGGGCTGCAAAATCTGAAAAATAAAAAAGGTAAATGGTATTTCTGCAATATTATTTTCGTTTCCGCAGCCCCCATTACTCACACTGCGCCACTGCTTTGCTGTCTTTACTAGATCATTACTGCCAAACTGCCAATCTGAATTGTGACGTCATGCGTTACAATTCCGAATATTTTGTATAGTTGTAAAATGGAGTGTTAGTTTTGTTTATTAAAGTACAATCAAACTCTAGACGTTTAAGTGTTAGAAATTAACAATTTTAGTACCTACAAAACGATTAGTAATCGATTAAAAGCACTCAAAACTTGCCAACGCACATAACCCTAAAATTATCGCAAAATGTCAACACTAAAAACAGTTTGGAATTGCATGTTCGGACCAAGATTAGTAAAAATATACGGAAACGGCCCCGTTGAGGTAAGATCCATAAGGTTTATTTCCCGAGTAACCAACCTTTTCCCAGAAGCTTTATCAACCACACAGTTTTGAAAAATGGGGCGATCAAGTAATACATTCCGTAAGTGGTTTTAGCACAGTCATGAGTTTTAATAATAATGCATTTCGCAGTTGTATGTTATTTGGAAAATTGGTGTTTATACGTCACCATTCTTGGTGGGAATTCTCTATCAAAAAGGCTACTTTACCATAGATGGACTGGGACCGTTCACAAAATTAGTGACTAGTATAAGCGTTATTCTGGTGGTTTCATACTGGTGCAAAGGTTTAGGTAGGCTTAATAACTCAACATATGTGAGGTTTTTGAACACGCTAGAGACGGCAAAAAAAGATATGACACCTGAAATTAAGCAGCAGCTTTCTATATATGATTTTGAGTTTCATAGTTGGCCGGTAGAATTTGATATGAGCACTTACAAACGGTGAGTAATTCAGAGTTTGGTAAGTTCAAACTTACTCAACTGTGTTGTGTGTAGGGACTCTACTAAAAGTAATAAGACAGTCTTAAGCAAGCCAAGCCTCCACCAGAATGTTATACAGTATGTCAGTAGTATACCACTTAGAATTATTGCATATGTTGCAATTCACACTTTCGGTATTAGATTAATATATCCAGGTTCAATTGGAATTCTCCAGATGATACTTGGTATGTCCTGATTGATGAAAACTGTAAAAAATTTACACATTTATTCACAGAACAAAGCCTCTTGCAAGGTAGATCTAGACTTATCGAACGCAACTCTGGCGAACGTTTCAAAATAAGAACAGCTGACAAAAATGACATAGACACGATGTTTATAGATAGACGTAATTCTACACCAAATGGAAATATTTTAGTTATTTGTTCTGAGGGTAACGCTGGATTTTATGAAATTGGTATTATGATAACTGCCATAGAAGCAGGTTATTCTACTCTTGGTTGGAATCATCCAGGTTTTGCGGGTAGTACAGTAAGCATGACATTTTTACAGGAGGTGTATTTATTAATAGTCACATACATTATAGGGAAAACCTTTCCCACCACAGGAACAAAATGCCGTAGATGCCATCGTACAATTTGCAATCAATCGGCTAGGTTTTAAATTAGAAAATATTTTGCTGTTTGGATGGAGTATTGGAGGATATGTTACATCATGGGCGGCCATGAATTATCCTGATGTTAAGGGAGTGGTATGTTTCACGTGAATCTTTTATGTAATTGGTCAACCTTGTTCTTAGGTCATTGATGCGACGTTTGATGATCTTTTACCATTGGCTATAAACCATATGCCACAGTGGTGGGAACCTATTGTTCGGTTGGCAATCAGAGAACACGTTAATTTAAATATCTTTGAACAACTCGCCAAATATCCTGGACCAATTCAATTCATTAGAAGAACAGAAGATGAAGTGATTTGTCTGAGGCAAATATAGAGTTTTTTAATTGTAGTTTATTTTGTGTATTATATTACAGGGAAAATGATCTCTGCTCCAACCGCGGAAACAATTTACTAATTAAACTGTTACGTACAAGGTATCCGTACATTTTTGAAGAAAGACAAGTTGAATTGTTAAACCAATATTTATCTGTCACATCTGCAGCACAAGGTAACTTGTACAAACTCTCATTTATAAATTTTTGGAAACTTTTTGTGTTTAGACTTGTTTCTGCAAAAGTACAGTGTCAATGAAAACATGTGCAACTCTCTTCTGCAGACCTACGTTTCTGAGTATTCTAAATCTTATCCGATGAAAATAGGAGAAGAATTCCAAGATCATGACAAAAACCAAATGACTTTATTTTTGGTAAATTCCTCCTTTGTGGTGTTCTGTTACACATTTTTTGTGTTCTTTTAGGCTAGAAAATACATGAAAGATTTTAAGGCAACCCACTGTACAAACTTACCTGCTGAGATGTTCCAACCTCCGTGGGATGTTCATGTAGAATCTGACTTTGTATTCACTTAAACGCTTTATAGGTAACAGTCTTATGGATTTGGTGATACTAGGAGGTTTTATCTATCTCTTGATATGTATAAGATTTTATGGAGAATATTTTGGTGTAATATAAAATAAATCCAATTGTGAAGATGATGTAGGTGCTATCCATTGTTAGTGGTTATTATTTTTGTATGTGTATTAATAAGTTATGTTGTCACCTTGAGTTTATTATTATTATTATTTTTTATTTATTTATTTAACTTGCTGATAATGAGCTAGCATATAAAATGGTATCTATAATTGCCCATAATTTTACTTTTCCAACTACAGCTATGGTATGAACATATGATTCCATGTTTTCTTAACTTTTCACATTGTGAAAAATCCAGATGAAAGTTTAAAAGCAATTGCTTTGCCAATTTCCGAAATATGTCTATATTTAAAAGTTTAAATAGTTGTTTCATTGTGCACTACTTTCTAGAAAAGATAAACTTATCCATTAGTAAAGGAGTTTAAAGCTTAAAGACGTAACATAAAATGTGTCTTCACAAATCACATTTTTTTTTTTTTTCAAGTAAATCTGTGTTCTCGAATGCGAGCTTCACTGTCCGCCTTACTTATATGTACACAGGTATAATAATAGAACACGACTTTTAACTTTATTGAACACGTACTAAGTTTTATTTATGCATTCCCTGCAAAAGTTAATGACGTCACTCAAAATAAATTACACCTGTGTTTTATTATAATATGTAATATAAAGTTGAAGAAACAAACCTAAATAAATAATAGTTTAAAAAACTAAAAAAACACGCTTTTATTGCTAATCGAACTAAAAACTAGAAAATAATTTTTAATGACAGAGTTTAATATTACAGTAGTAGAAGATCAAACAATCAATCATAATAAATCACCTCAAATTAAAATTATAATAAAATTTAAGTTATTAACAGAATAATTCAATTCAGAGTAAAAAGCGTGGGGTGCATTTTACTGCGGTTCATAACTATCCTCTCATAGATAGTTGCCAATAGAATGATTGTAATATTTAAAATATCAAGCACCCCACGCTTTTTACTCTGAATTGAATTATTCTGTTAATAACTTAAATTTTATTATAATTTTAATTTGAGGTGATTTATTATGATTGATTGTTTGATCTTCTACTACTGTAATGTTAAACTCTGTCATTAAAAATTATTTTCTAGTTTTTAGTTCGATTAGCAATAAAAGCGTGTTTTTTTAGTTTTTTAAACTATTATTTATTTTTCATTTTTTAGTCTGCGACAAATTCATAAATTGGGGAATTAATTACTTATTTAGATTTTTCTAGAAAGAACCACTCAGTGGTCTCCGTATGATCGATCAACGGGAATTAGTTCGAAATCAATCGCCCTCACGGACCAACGGGACACAATTCATCATTGTGGTTAGTTTTACCCCCCAAATGGTTAATTTTCCTCCATGTTTGTATTTCTGAATCAAAATTTGTTATCTTTATTTAAGTTGGTGAGAATTCATGATTAGATATGTTTTAATTATAATTAATTCCTTCTTTACCGACTGTAAAACCAAAGCTATGCAGAAATTGTCCTTGAAACAGAAATAATCGGTATAGATCGGTATAATCGACACGGAGAGAGATAACCGTGGTATATACTGACACAATTAAGATGCGATCACGCATTTTTGCACACGTTTAGTTAATTAAAAGTCCGTTCTTGTTTTTTTCATTTAATATCCGTTATTTGTATTTTAATCAAGACTATAATTACAACGAAGAGTAAACCAGATACTACAGGCATGCGCAGATCGCGCGCTAGCTTTATCTCTTTTACTCCACTACACAGGATCCATAAAAGAATTTATAAATCCTGGCGCTCCTAATAAGGATAATGGGAAACTGTTATCAAATTATTGCATTGTCATCGATCCTTGAGACGTGTGCAAAGTTTCAAGATGATCAGACTTTTAGAAACCGATGAAAATTAAGCTCAAAGATTCCGTTACATACAACCCAAGCTAATAAAAGCGTGATAAAAAATTGGTCGAAGGTTATTTCGACAGAACTTCCCTCGTCCCTAAAGTAAAATAAAACATCAAGCTTTTTCGAAAAATTATAAAATGTTTACCAATTTCATTTTTTTATGTGAACCCTTATAAGTTAAAGTAAAGATATGTATGTGATGTTAAAATAAATATACACAAGCGTGCTTCGCGTATGTTTCAAGTGAGTTTTTTCACGACAAATTTTGTGATAACGTCATCAGCATAATTTTGCAAGTGCACGTATATCAATTTGGATAGATTCAGTGCAATATTAATAACAGTAGTTTTCCCAAAATTTCGGGGGAATGGAGTGATCGTTCTTGATTTAATCAATAAAATAAATTGGCTCATTCATTTTTTATTTTTGAGTCACACTGTATAAGTAATTCTAAAAACTATGAGTGCATTGATAACCACATGGCGTTTTCCAGACAGGATTTATTCGGCAAAATTTGGTGATGACGTCATCAGTGTCGGTTTTGCAGTTTCAAACTTAAATTACGAAATGTTATACAATTTTGATTCTTCTTTTCCAAAAATCAAGACGTCTAGGATAAAAACTCAATACGGATTCATAACAAATGCAGGAGTATTTTATTATATAAAATTTAAATAAGATTTACTGTTTGGCATGTAAAATTTGACAACAATTGGTCTATTTTAGTAGTTTCGGAGATTATCTCTCTAATAAAAATCGACAAAGAGACGAAAATTGTTTCGTATTCTAGGGAGATGAAACGTCGAAAAATCGCAGGATGGATTCGTTTGTAATACTTCATTAGCGTGCGCTCGGGAAAAAATTTAAAATTTTGAAAAGAAAAGAAAAAATACATATTTTATATTTTCCTAAATTGTCTTAACAATGAATGACATAGCTTGAGACCTTTGGCAATGGCAACTACTGTCAAACGTAGGAGCTAAATCACAATTATAGACGCCGTTCTGGGTGGAAATCCTCCACAATAGTCGTAATCTAAATCTAATTAGTCACTTTGGACACAGAAAGTAATAAAATCTTAGGTGTTATCCTGAATTTTGAAACTTAAATTTCACCCTCAGTTAGATAAGGCTTTGTAATGCCGAGGCGCACGCCCTTTTTGGACGCGTCGGCATTACTTTTTGTGTCAAGTACTAGTGTAAACACGTGTGAAAATAAAAATTTAGTTTGTAGCTTCAAAAAAGAGGCAGTTGTTTAAACAAAAATGAATCACATTCGACGCCACCGTCCGCTTCAACGAGAATCTAACACGATTAATGGATTTCTAATCTGAAGTGTGTAAAATTGAAGATGTCAATTCACAGTTCACGTTAAAATTTTTAATATAAAGCACGTGGCAGAGAAATTTACTTATTCAGGCTTCACTCTTTTCATAGTTTAAATTATTTATCACGTCACAATATCCAAAGTTTATGACTTTTTTATTTAAGTTATTAATATAATTATGTGCATTGTGATGACCAAATTTGAATTAAAATTTCGCGTTGAAAGAAAAACAGCGGCGCGAAATCATATTTGAATAATTTGAATTTGAAAAAAAGTTCAATTAAGAAAAATTAATTAAGCGTAGCTAATTCTTGCGGTTTTTCGAAGCAGAAATAGGCGAATTTTCGACCGACGCCAACACGTAATGTAAATTTGTTTTATTGTTTGTAAATTCACAGTTCCTGTTAGGATTTTAATCGTTAACTGGTTCTAACACAATTTAACAATCATAAGTTTGTTCATCATCGAGACACATTTTCTCGCGACGAGGTAAATTATATCACCGAGACGCATGTTTTTCGCAACGCCGGATGCATTTTGTGTTTATTTATCATGTGTTTGTTTGGGATAAGCTGGGGACAATCCACGATATAAACTCTCATCATGTAAATTCTTTGTTTGAATCGTTGATAAAGTGTGGTAAAAATTAAACTCATGTAATTTTGTTAGCTTTGCAATTTTTTACCTCGTGCAATTTTTCTCTATCTCGCAATTTTAGCCTGAGTAATTTTCTTTGCTGTATAATTTAAATTGAACATAAATTTTCATGCTTTGCGCTTCCTAACCTCACGTAAAATTTTTGTCTACCCAAGATTTACTTCACACCAGATCTGTTTTGTTTTTATAATTTTTTGCTAGTTTTCGAAATTTCATGAGTGTATAGTGAATTTAAATGTTGTTTATTGCTCTTTTGAAATTTTAACATTTGTTCGGTCGCAGTTTAATCTCAGAGTTATAGAAATTGAACTTTTAAATGGAATTGAGGTAAATAACAGAGGAACACGTAGCGGAAGCGGAGTGCGCGGTTCCTTGTGGAGCTGACGGTCGCGCCATCTGTACAAAGGATGCAGGCCTTAAATAGAAGTCAGGGACGGTCGAGATGACATAACGCTCGCGGCTTGGTCCAATGGCCAGGATTTCCAACCACGAGTTTGTGATCGTAATGGCCTGCTCGTACGGCATCTCCGCGATGAAGGGGTGCTGTGCAGCAGTGATTGCTGATAGATTAGAATCACTGTCGCGGTGGGAGAACAGCCACGACCAGGAGCCCCAAACTCCGTTCGTGCTACAACGTTCCCTGTGGGTAATTTTGTTGTGCTTTAGAATGAAATTGATATAATTCGATCGCCACACTCGTACAGTGCTCTGCTGCCGCTGCATAGTTTTTATTAAAATTTTGTTCTCTTGTTAACTGCCATAATCCGTAATAACTTGTGTATTTGCATCCAGTTATTTTAATTCAGATTTTTCTTTCGTTTTTATTAAATTTGTGATATTCAAATATTTGCATTGATTCAGAACGTTTGATTTGATTTCATTTCATTCCAAGTTTTTTTTGTCCTCCAAATGTTTTGTGTTTTATTTAGCGGTACTTTTCCAACCTTGGGACCCACCACTTGCATCTGAACGCATTCCGCCACAAAAAAAACACACAAACACAACGTAGGGTTCCATTTTGTTTTGTTAACTCTCACAGTTCGAGGTCAAATTTTAAATTTTTGCGGGCTTTAAAATTTTGTTCACCTCTAATTTTAGCTGGATGTTTGCATTATCACAATACCTATGTATACTGGTGAGCTAACAAAATAACGGCCTTTATTTCACTAGTGATTTATAAACCCATGTATGTTGTGGTGACCGAATTTAAATCAAAGTTCTCGCGCTGAAATTAATTAACAGCGGCGCGAAATCACACTTGAATAATTTGAATTTGAAAGAAAAAAAAATGAATCACAAAAAGGAAATCATAGGCAACCTGGTACACAGAGATGCTTGTTTGGTAGCGTGACAATTTAGCGCTAGGGAGTTTTTAGTTAGAGGGTTGGTTGGTTGGTTGGTTGGTTGGTTGGTTGGTTGGTTGGTAGAGAAGCTGCATGGCGTAGATTCAGTCTGAATGTGCTTGTGTGAGTGTAACCACGTGGTAAGCGCTAGGTTTAAATTAGTTGGTTTGGTAGTTAATAAAATGAGAGGAAGCCCTTGTTTAACGACAATCAATCGTAACTTTCATAATGAGACATTTGTCCCCAAGCCGCGCGGTGAATTCTTGCGGCCTTTTCATCGGAGAAATGCGGACTTCCGGTCGACACGAGACACCTGCTGTAAATTTGTTTCATTGTTTGTAAATTCACCAATCAAGTTAGTTTTTCTTAATAATCAACTAGTGCAAACATGGTTTAACAATCAGGATTATTTAAATAAACCACTTGCTAGAAGATTTCATGAAATTCACTTAGTCAGGAAAACACCTTATTGTTTAATTACGAATAAGCTTCTGGATGGATATACGTAAGCGTTACATTATAACACTTCTTAATTCTTCACACAAGATTGCTAATAGTTCACTTACGGCAGTTAAACAAGTTCATTACACTGCAAACTGGCAGGGGTTATGATATTTTCTTCCCTTAGGTGGTTATCATGGTTATCATGATTAATTCATCGGGGCATGCCTCACAACCCTACAGATTGATTAATTCATCGAGGCATGCCATCACAACGCTACAGATTGATTAATTAATCGAGGCATGCCCTCACAACGCTACAGATTGATAGAGGTCCGTCCTCGCGACGCTAGAGATTAATAACATCACCGAGACGCTTTTTCCTCGCAACGATTTTTAAATTTTACATCACCGAGACGCTTTTTCCCTCGGAGCGATGATTGGATATTTTTGTAATTGTTTATTATGTGTTTTGTTGGGGTAACCAGTTCGCGGTATTTTAAACTGTCAAAGTAAAATGTTTTTTGAAGTAACCAATCACTTAGATCAAGACATAATTTAACATAATGTAAACTCTTTGTTTGAACCGTTGATAAAGTGTGGCAAATATCAATCTCCTGTAAATTTTTTTAACTTGTAATTTTACCACCTCATACTATATTTCTTAACCTCACAATTTTAACCTCAGTAATTTTATTTGTTGTATAATTTTAATTGAACATAAATTTCATGTTCTACAGTTTTAACCTCACATAATATTTCTATTTGTACAAGTTCATTTCACACCAGATCTTCTGTTTCATAAATCCTTTTGTTTTGTTTTGTAAATATTTTGTTGATGAATGTTTCTATCATCAGCTATCATAAATTGTTTGATGTCCAATTTTTATCTCACATAAGATTTATTTGTTTAAAATTTCACAAGATTGTATGGCGAATTTAAATGTTGTTTATTGCTCGTTGAAACTTTAACACTTGTTCAGTTGTTGTTAACATCAGAGTTATGGGAGATTGAATAGAATTTTGCGTTTGTTCGTTTTTCATATGTGTATATCAGTCAGTTCGCGAGTGTCCCTTTTTTTCATATATTTTAAGATGTTTGAAATGTAATATGTCCGGGAATAAAACAAAAGGGGGTTTTTGCGCCGAGGAGTAAATTTTTGCAGCGTCTTTCCTCCTGTGAGGGGGTGCCGTGCTCCCCCCTCCAAAACAATTTTGTCTATTATTTCTTGCGCTCTTGACAGTGTATGCACTTATATGAAAGAACGTCTTCCCGCCATTTTAAAAAAACAAAAAAAACAACGTAGGTTCCTATTTGTTAAACGATCACAGCCAAGGCCAAATTTTGAATCTCTGAATTTTTCGCGGGCCTTTCAAACTTTTTCAAGATCAATTTAAAGGCGGGAAGTTTGGGTTATCACAACATTTATAAAGATTATTATTATTATTTATATCATCAATTATTATTTTCAGATAGGTCAAATTACTTTTTGTAAAATTGTAACGTCTTCTTTTATAATATGTATTTTGTACTCTTCCAGAGGATTTATATCTCCACGAAAAAAAGGTAACGTTGTCATAACAAACTTCAAAAATTGCACGGAAAAATTTGTCCGCAGGTCAGGTATGAAGGCTGGTGGGTATGTAGAAAATTCTAACTTTGACTTTTAAACTGATACCTGACGGTACCAAGTGGTCATTTAACAAGCGATAAAAAACAAGGCAATAATTTTCGAACGTTTATATTTACAAACAATTAACTGAAATTAAAAAAATAGTTAACATCACAAAGCAAAAACCCAAATCCTTATAGAACAACAAGTATCCAACACATTATTAAAATTACAATTTGCTTTTTCTTGACATGAATTTTACAATAGCTTCGCTAAATTCTTCAGAGCCGAAGCATTCTGCAAGCTGATCGAATTCTCTTTCACAACTTTCACATAACACATCTCTGTAGTTCCCAAGAACCAACTTTTTGTTGTTTTTGACGCTATTCACGGACATCGTTTTCCCCATCTTCTTCAGTTTTTCACTAAACTCGTTAAGTTTCTCATGCGGAATGACTTCAGCAACAAACCCAAACTGATACGCTTCTTGAGCGCTCATTATCTTGCCCAGGAATAGCATTTCCGATGCTTTGCTTCGGCCCATAATGTTAGCAAAACTGTAACTCGAACCACCTTCTGCACATAGCCCCAAACTGAGAAACGGGGTCTGAAATGTAGCTCTGTCCGATGCATAAACAATATCACACAAACCGGCTGTAGTGACGGCAATTCCAATCGCCGGGCCATTGACGAGCGCTATTAACAGCTTCGGATAATTTATAAAAGCCAAAATCATGTCTTTTAGCTCATCCATTCCTCGTGACTCGCCACTGCCAAAAGATCCCATTGCACTTTTAATATCAAAACCGCTGCTGTAATATTCTCCAGTACCAGTTATGATTGTCATAGCAACTTGATCATCGGTCGCATCTCCATTCAAAGTGTTAGCGATGGTAACATATACATTGGAATCAAATGCATTTTTGGTTTTGGGTCGATCAATTCGGATTACTCTTACACGATTCTGTAGTGTGGTTATGACTTCTTGTGAACTCATGGTGTCTCGTAGGATTCTGCCTCGGATTCTGAAATTTCAACTTTTAGCATAAACCGGTAAATACCAAATATTTCCTTTAATGCACTTAAGAATTTGTAACAAAAAATAATTATTAGGAAATAACCTACCTTCAGCCTGCAGCTAATACACTTAACAGATAAATAAAAACTGTCAACAATGACTACAGAAATATGATAGATTAACCTGATTAACGCTTAAATAGTACTTTAAACTGAAAGTTGAGAGTGTTTTGATTGGTTAAGTTTACATATCATAATAGTTTACATGAGTTTACATTTTATTTGAACATATAGGGGAAAGTCGAACCAAACGGATTGCTTGAGCAAAATGAGAAATTGTTTTTGTGAAACATATTCATCATTTTTTATAGATGTTTATAAAGCACTTGTAACAAATAGTGGGGCGGGTTCCAACAAAAATTGAATGAAATTATAATGTAAAAACTCAAAATGGAAGCCAAAAATTATATTTCAAATTTTCACAAAATATAACTGTAGTTATCTTTTATTGAAACACGAAAACAGACGAGAAAAATGCGGAAAAAGTCTATAAAAAAGTAAAAATACAATTAAAAAAGCGATTAAAAACAACGCGAAAAAATGGCAGAAGAAACGCTAAAAAACCCTTATACAACAAAAAATGCGAAAATAAAGGGTGGAAAAAGGCAACAAAAAAACGAACAAAAAACCTCGAAAAAAGGGATAAACCCATATAAAAGGCGCCATGAAAGAAGATAAAAAAATAACAAAAAAATTACAAAAATGGCAATAAAACTCCAAAAAAGGCGGAAAATGGGAATAAAAAAAATGGCAGGAAGGTCTAATAATATATCAATATAAACTGTGTTGTCAATTCTTGTGCCATTTTTAATACACAAGTGACTGTATTTTGTGCATTTTATGTAGGATTTATCCAACCAAATTTTGAAACGATTTCATAAAGTGTTTGGAGCGGATAAACAAAAACATTTTGATTTGTGATTTAAGATTTCATAGCATTCAGTGTTGCAGTTTCAAAGTTACATGGAAATTGTGTATGCCTAGGGTAAAAAATTAAGACGGATTCATAAACCACGAGTACTGGAATATGTAACTTTATAAAACTTAAATAGCATTTACTATGTAGAATATTGAAGTGACGCCCTGACGTCATCAAATTGTTGGTGAGGATGATTAAAGTAGGTACTGTATAATAAAGTAGGTACTTTACGGATCATCAGACAAATCGTAGCGTTTTTCCATCTACACGACATTCCTAAAATACATACCTACATATAAAATATGACAACAACCAGTCCAGTAGTCTCGGAGGTTATATCTGATTAATAAATATCGCCACAACCAGGTAGACGGACCACATACACAGAGAGAAACGGGCAAACGGGAATTTTTCATCCTCAGTGTCAGAAAACGCCGAGGAAACATGAAAATCACCGTTCGCCAGATAGACTCTGTTACAATCTTATGGTGGTTGTGAAAGGAAGCCCTTTTGATCTACACTAGTCCCCTAATAAAGCCTAGTTGTGTGCAATCTGAATGTCTTGTAACTACAAAGTTTGGAAGTTCACATATTCTTTTTACGTTGTCAGTGGGTGCTGGGCAGGAACATGGTTGTTTCAGTCATCTAAGCACAGTCTGCATGTGTTATCAGAAGTTAAACTAATATACCGATGAATTCGTTTAGGGAACTGCTTTCCACGAACAGGGCTACCATCTCATCTCCCTTATCTTGTGAAAAGCTCAATACACAGGGTCAATAGCTCTTCACTATTATGCTTTTCGTTAGTTATGGATAGCGAGTAGCACCGACTGGCACAAGTTTAAAGTCCGCCATTTTTGAAGATGGCGTCGGTGCATTATTAAACAAAAATATGTAAACATAATAGTCATCATCAGTTAATTAATCACTACCATTAAATTAAGTTAACAAAACTAAAAACAACTAGGTATATGTAATACCAACTTTGTGTTAACCTACTTTCCCCTGCTAGATGCTTTTGTAACTACTTGTTCGTCTCCATCTATATTCGAATACATTAACGTCATTCTTTGCTGGACTGGATCATTCGATCAAGTTGAACTTTGGACTTCGCACATATCTACATGTGATATTTTTTATCATAATGCACAAACACATTTAAAATACATTGAAAAATAGGTTTATCTGCAAAAATTACAAAAACAGGTAGTCATTGTAATAAAAATTGTAGATATACATATATGAAAATTGCTCGTAGTTAGTGACAAGTAACAAAAATATAACAGCCGTTAAAATTAACATTCTAGTAGGAGTTGATTTTTTAAAGAAGCGGAAAAATTATGCAACATAACATACATAAATAAAACATAACTTTGCCGCTATTTATTTTTTCCAAAAAAGTTCTCGTATTTGTTGATTTTCATGCAACACTTTGATGCAAAATTTGAAAAAAACAGTGAAATCGGAGCGATACTTATGGCAATTGTTTTTTGAGTGGCGTAATTTTTTCAGCTCCTTTAATACAAGTCGCTAGAATGTATGGAAACGATTAATTCACTTGAAATTACGTATAGGGGTACAAGAAGTTGTGCTCTAATTACTCACCAAAAGAATTTTTTTTTGCTTCATTTGTTGTCGAGATGCAAGGCCAACTTCATTTTTTTAAATGGCTCTACCATATAATTAATTTCTTTTTGAATTCACTGATGTATCACAATCATACTTTCTTTCTGAGTGAAATGGCAAAATACATTATTTTAAATAAGAACAAATAAAAAAAAGATGGCACAGTTACCTTTGAAAATAATTTTAATTCGACACGTAAGGTGTTTCTTACAAAAATGGTGCATCTATAGAATTATTAATGATTATCGGTTACGATGATAAAAGACGAAGTTTTGCTCAAGTAGTAATACTTTTCGAAGAAATTCATCCTGAGCAAGAACTTATTTCTAAGTTAGCGGTTTCAAAAACCCTACGAAGATTTGAATAATCTGAAAGTGTAAAAGAACGTTCAAAACCTGGCAGACCAAAAACTGCTACAAATGATGAAATTGCCCTTAATGCCTTCTTAGACGCAACAGAAAATCCCAAAACGTCAGTGTAACAATTACATTGTTATGTGATAACCCAAACTTCCCACCTTAAATTGAGACTTGAAAAAGTTTGAAAGGCCCGGGAAAAATTCAAAAATTCAAAATTTGGCCTTGGCTGCGATCGTCTAACAAAAGCAACCTAAGTTGTGTTTTTTTCGTTAAACATGGCGGGAAGACGTTCTTTCAAACAAGTGAGCATACACTGCGTGCGAGTAGAGAGCGCAAGAAATAATAGACAAAATTTTTGGGAGAGGGCTAAAAATAGCGCGAATATTTGAATATCACAATTTAATAGAAACAAGGCAAAATCTGAATTAAAGTAACTAGATGCAAGTACACAAGTTATTACGGGCGTGTGGCGTTAAACTTAAAGTTACGGCAGTTAACAGGAGCACAACAAAAATACCCCTGGGCGTTCTAGCACAAGCGGAATTTGGGGCTACCGGTCGGGGCTGTTCTCCCCCCACGACGGTGATTCTATCTATCGCAAGCCTACCCGCACAGCACATCTCAATGACGAACATGCCGTCCGAAACTAGGTCGTTACGATCGCTGATCCGCAGTTGGGTCTCGACTATTGGGCCAAGTCGACAGCGTTACAACATTGCGACCGCCCCTGAATCTATCCAAACCTGCACCCTTTGTACAGGTGACGCGATAAATCTCGCCAGCTCCACTTGGAACCGCACTTCGCTTCTGCTACGTTTTCTGTGTTATTCAAACTCAATCCCATTTTAAATGTTCAATTTCTTATGACTTTGATATTAACAACAACTGAACAAGTGTTAAAGTTTCAAAAGAGCAGTAAACAATATTTAAATTCGCCATACGATCTTGTGAAATTTTAAACAACAAATAATTCTTATGTGAGATTAAAATTGGACATCAAATAATTTATACGATGGAAACATTCATCAAGAAAATATGTGTGAGGCTGTGAGGTTAAAACTGCAAAACATGAAATGTACGTTCAATTAAAATTATACAACAAAGAAAATTACTGAAGTTAAAATTGTGAGATGAGAAATATTGTATGAGGTGAAAAATTGCCAAGTTAATAAAATTTACATGAGATTAATATTTGCCACACTTTATCAACGATTCAAACAAAGAGTTTACATTATGTCATGATCCAAATGATTGGTTACTTCAAAAACAATTTACTTTGGGAGTTTAAAATACCGTGAACTGGTTGCCCCAACAAAACACATAATAAATAAACACAAAAATATCCAGTCATCGTTGCGAGGAAAAAGCGTCTCGGTGATGTAAATTTTAGCGTTGCGAGGAAATACCTCGATGATGTAAATTTTAGCATTGCGAGGAAAAGGCGTCTCGGTGATGTAATCAATCTTTAGTGTGGCGAGGACATGCCTCAGTGATGTAATCGATCTGTAGCGTTGCAAGGGCATGCCTCGATGAAGTAATCAATCTTTTGCGTTGTGAGGAAATGCCTCGATGATGTAATCATGATAACGATGATTGTTAAATTGTGTTAGCACTAGCTGACGATTAGAAAAACTAACTTGATTAGTGAATTTACAAACAATAAAACAAATCTACACCACGTGGTCAGCGTTGGTCCCAAAAAATTAACACTTTTCCGATTAAAGGCCGCGCGGATTGAGGAAACGGGGCACCGTCGGCATTACGATTGATTGTCGTTAAATAAAGGCTTCCTCCCTTTTATTAACTACCAAACCAGCTAATTTAACCTAGCTACTTAAAGCGTCTTTTCACCATGCGTCTACTACACCGAACAAAAACGTAATGAGCTCCCCCATGCCGCTCTCCTCTACCAACTCGACTATCGCCCTCTAACTAAAACATGCAGAACTACCCCAAGCGCTAATGTGCATGTATGATTGCCTATATTTAATGATTTTTTTATTGAATTTTTTTCTTTCAAATTCAATTTCAAATTATTCAAACGTGATTGGTGCCGCTGTTAATTAATTTCAGCGCGAAAATTTGATTCAAATTCGGCCACCACAATTAATACAAAATTAATCAAACAATAATGAAAAAGGAAAAGTTTCACTCATACAAAATCAATTTGGTACAAGAGCTAAATGAAGATTATTTTAATCGTAGAGTCGAATTTACCGAAATTATTATGAATGGAATACAACAAGACGGAAATTTTATCAACAGGATTTGCTTTTTGACGAATCTACGTTTTGTTTAAATGGTCATGTGAACAGACACAACTGCAGGTACTTTGGTCTGACATAAATCGATACTCGATGGAGCAAATCCACAAAGCGTCCAGAAAAACCGAATGTTTGGTGCGGTATTATTGGTTACCATGTAATTGTCCCGAGTGTAAGCGAAGAAAGTATTGTAATCGAGTCCATCGACCGACTCTCTACTTTTACGTTTTTTCCACCTTTCAGGACCCCGAGGACCCCTACAGTACGAAGAAATAGGTCCCTGTTTCCATTTGTCTAATGATCCCCACCAACAATGCCATGACGTCACTTCAAAATTGTACATAGTAAATGGGTTTTAAATTCTATAAAATAACACAGTCCTACACATGTAGTTTGACTCCGAATTGAGTTTTGACCCGAAACTTCGGTCCGTTTCCCATAGTGGGACAACGTTAGATTGATTTAACTGCCGTAAATGAACTATTGGCAATCTTGTGTGAGGAATTAGGAAGTGTTATAATGTAATGTATAAGCATCCATAAACCTTATTTATAACTTGATAAACAAATGATAAGTCCTGACTAAGTGAATTTCATGAAATCTCCTAGCAAGTGCTGTATTTAAACAATCTCAGGACCGTTAAATTGTGTTACAACCAGTTAACGATTAAAATTCTAACATGAGTGTCAATTTACAAACAATAGATCAAATTTACACCACGTGTTGGCGTCGATCGAGAATTCGCCTATTTCCGCTTGGAAAAACCGCAAGAATTAGCAACGCGTGTTGAGGAAACTGTGGCGTCGTCGTTACGATTAATTGTCGTTAAACAAAGGCTTCCCCTTTTATATTAACGACCAAACCAACTAAACTTAACCTAGCTTTCTTACCGGGTACTTTACTCACCAAAACAAAACCACTATTGCCGACAAAAAGTTTGGTTTCAAAACTTCACTGGTGGTACTAGATGTTACTATAATATGAAAAATGACAATGTAAATTTTTAAAACTAATTTAAGAAGTTTTGGTTTCACAGTAAAGATTTATCACTACTTTCCTTTATTAAATTTTAAGCATGTTTTGTAAGATGCAAATATATTTGTGTTAAATTAATATCCAACTTTAAAAATACCGAGAGTATAATAACGATACCCCGAAAGGATCAAAGGTAGTCGAACGACCATACAAAATCTGTTAAAATACTAGAACACAAAATCACAACTACATTTATAAAAGCTCACCAATTTTATTCACACAATAAATTTAGCTTGTACCTATTTCAACACTTAAGATAGTTATAAATAGATTTTAAAATTATTGAGCATCAATTTTTACATTTACCTAAACAACGAGTTTGAATCTTTTTGGTAATTCAATAATACAATTTTGTTTGTTTAATTACTTTGTAAAATCAATGAGATGAGGAATTAAAAAAAGGTAAATGTGTACATCTGAAACAGTTTATTTCAACTGTATGCATTGTAGCACTTTTGTCATAATAATTAAAATCAGCAATATTATACAGGAGAAAAACTCGAGAAAACTTATTCAGGGGAATGTTTAAACATAATAATAAAAATACTGTAGAAAAATAAAATAAAAACATGACCCACTTCATAAAATTTCCAACCAAACTGTGTGTTAACATTATTGATGCGATTTCATAAAAAAAAGACATGAAAAACGAATCAAACATACCACGTCTGGCGAAAGATTGGACAAGATAATGACGGTTAAACAAATTAACAGAATACAAACTTCTGACAAAAGAATTTTTTGCTTTGTTTTGTATATTCTGGTCCTGCAGAACGCTTTGTGTCAAAAGTATTTACGTGTTTTAATTTGTATAGTAAATAAAAAAGTCCACTCTATAGCCAGACAGTATATTTTATGATAAAAAAACAACAGGTCAAATGAGCGAATGAAATAAATAAGCTCTAAAACACGCAAGAGGCAGTTATAGTCACACCATTTGCTATTCTTCATAACTGTTACAATGGGACTATTTACCATCAATAATTAATTATTCTCAGTCTCACAGACACATTTGAACTGTTCTTTTTTTTCTGTATCATACGGTGCAATACTTATCCTACCATAAAATTTCAATCTTAACCTTTATGCAACTCCTAACATATTTAGTAACATCAACAAAATTGCATTGTAGGTAGATATGTTTTAGTACAGCTCTATGCAAAAATATGAGTATGTATTCGAAACCAACAGGTTGTATTCATCAATTCATAAACAAAACAACAGTTGTGTTATGCTTAAATAAATTTGAGATGAGAAATATTTTTGCATATAGATGTACAGATCTACATTATTGCATGAGTATTTATAGCAACCTTAACAAGTTTCAACGCAAAGGTGGAGAAAATGTATCATTATTTACAATACTATTTTGTGGCGGATTCCTTACATAATTAATGAACTAGTAAAAATCCCATTCAGTAAAATGTCTTCAACGACCTATTCAAAAATAACATATACATATTTGTAATTTATTAGAAGAGGTAGATATTTAAAATTTTGGATTACTTAATATATCACTGCGTCCAAATAAACATGGAAACTGTAAACTGTTTCTTCACTGTAAAATAAAATTTCTTGCATTTGTACATCACTATGAACTAGTTGTAGATAAAAATAATAATAATAATTACAGCTGTCTTCGTTTTTGTTTAGCCTTTGTATTATTACAATTACATTACAATATAGTCATGTTTTTTGTTTTTCAATATAAATTCACGTAAAATGTATAATTATGAACATTCATGAAAATACCACAGGACTGAAATTTATGTTCTCTGGTAGCGGACCACAGCAAAAGTGAAATATAAAGAATTTACTGTTAACTCAGAGCAACGTTTTCCTTTACAAAACCACTTTTCGCCATGTTAGAATTATCTATAGTTCATGCAAGTTGAGCAAGTCTGCAAAAGATTACTACTGTACATAATAGTCACATAAATTAACCATCACTTATACTCAAAGAATAAATAAAATCGTGGATCAAGTATAAAAAAGTTGATAATAAATATAACGTAGAGGCTTTTTACAATATTAAACAATAAACTGCTATGAGTTATGAGACTGTGGGAAATTTTGTACCACCCTCCTACCACAAAATCCCTCTAAATCAAATGGTTCAAAATCCTTGAGATTTTGATTTTCCTGTTCTTGATAAAATATCACGGAAGTTCCAGTGTTCCTATCCACTTCCTGTGACACTTTGTTCCAGGAATCAAAGATGTACCTTATCAAATCATCGTGTTGTTGATGGGTAACTGGTTTTTCGTGTGAAGGCAGCCTGTTCAGATCTGTAGGCCTCCTATTATTATTTCCATTCATTTGAGACATTCCCATACGCGGTCCACTAAAATTAGAAAACATTTTGGTTAGCGAGGTAATTAAAAACAAAAAAAATCTCTCAATAGAACAAGCAAAGGGTCTAACCTCATCCTGCCACTGATCACCCAGTCGTTACGAATAAATAAATAAAATCACAAAATAAAATATGTGTAAACTTAAGAAGGATTTTAAAAATAATAAAATTGTTTTCAACAGTACGAGACAAACGTCAGTTGTCAACTGATTTGATTGTAAACAAATATTTCTACATTACCCACCGAGAGTGGAAGTGGGACATGTGGCTGAGGACTCGCTTCCGGTATTTTTAATTGGGTAACTATTTTCCATTCGGATAATTATTTCAAGTTACGATTTGCATTTAGCATCCATACACAAGTAAAGAATTGAAGCTACTAATGTAACTTTGCTTCAGTAGTCTTAAATATAAAGATGTGGCATCCAACGTGCATAAAAATTCTGAAGCCCGCGAAACTTTAAACTTTCAATCCAAAAATTTTGTTTTACTTAAGACTATTAATATCAAGAAGCGGTAATAAATTGTTGAGAAAGGATAGCTCATAGTTCTCAGTTTCTTTTGAAAAAGTACAAAACACTGATGTTTTACAATCATTTATTTTACTACCAAACAGATAAACACATTTAACACATCTGCATGTTGTATATTTATATAACACAACTTTATAAAAATACACAAATGGTTGCTATTATATATATATATCTCTTAATACAATACCAACAATTTTAATAAATGGATCAACATTAACAAGACTGTAATGATTATAGTAAATAACCTGTTGGATATTTTTGTTGCTGTCTGTTGCACAAAACTTTTGTTTTACTAATCTATGACAAAAAAAGGAGCTATAGATAAATGAGTATCTAGATTAAGACACCAACAGGTATATTTGGTGTGACCCATGTTGTTTGAATAAGTTTTCATATCATTATTCTTCGCCTCTCTTGAATTTACTTGGTGGTGTTTACTCATTTTATTATTTGCAACTTCACAGAAAAAAAAAACTTAAAATCTATTGACACCAAAAGATGTAAAATGTTTTAAATGACTAGTTTTACATTTTAAAATGTGAACAAACCTAGACTTTATTGCAGTTCAATGTGATATATTTTGTTCGTTAAATAAAATGTGTTTATATCAGTTTCAAACGAAATATAAATCTAAATTTGCATTGTTCTAAATTTTCTTGAGATATACTCGTTTTTGGGTTATATTTATGTACTAAAAATACTTTTTTTTATATTTAGAAAAATACAGAAATTGTAAACTTTGATTTTTTTTAAATTTTATGTTGTATATTCATTTATAAAACATAATTCAAACTAACTCTAAATAAGTGGACAATTTTTCTGGAAAATGATGGGTTTCATACATTTACGAATCAAAAATATTCCCTAGGTACTAATACCGTATGATCTATATATAGTTTATACAATTAAAGAACATCAAACAAACATCAACACTGATTTTGACTGTATTTTCTAATAATTGACCCTTTTCCTGTAAGCAAAGTGAGTAGACATTATATAAATTCCAATGATACAGAGTGAGACAACATCGCGCAGGCGAAGTCAGATTTTTGGAGCGCCAAGTTAAAATTAACCAATGAGCGATAGATTACGCATGTGTAGCTGGTTGCATTCTGTCAAAGCGGTTTGTTGTCACAGGCCTTTGCTCTGCTGCCGGAGTGCCGGATACGTGGTTTTGAAGATGCGTGCGCACGGAAAGTCACTATGGAAGTTTTACGATCTTACAGGAAAAGGGTCAATAACACGAAATGTATCTTGATCATACGGTAGTATCATTTTGACAACGGAAGTTCGCTTCAAGGTCACATACATATCAAACCTTTATACATTGTATTAAAATTTACGAATTTTGAATTTAAATTCAGTTTGATAATATTTTAACTCATTGTGATACTGGTAACCACTCTTAGTGAAAAATTATGAAAAATATGTAATTTAGTACACGTATGCATATCTGACCATACAAACTTATAAATAGACGATGTTAACTTCACCATACGTCAATGACTATTTGTCTGTGAATTTGATCCACTATGTTTAGCAAAAATCTATACTGATATGTGCATTATATACCTACTAGTTTAAGTTTGTAAAAGGACAAATACAACAAGGAATACAGTAATATCGACCATCTTGTCACACGGTATAATATATTAACAAAAAATTTTCTTTTAATTTCGATTTTTGAATCATATGTATTTAATAACACTTACTTTGTAGGTAAGCACGACAGGGAATACAAGGTTGACGGTTGTTCAAAAAATCTCGTCTTGCCTGTACATCCTTCATTATAAAAATGAAATTAATAAAGCAGAATACATAAAACGATATACAGTCAATTCCAAATGTGGAAACTCTTGACTCTTGAGCCCCGTCGTAGACAAAGTACACAATTACAAAATAGCTCATAAATAAAATCTTCGTAACATTAATATTATGTGGCCATTTTACTCTAATCTATTCTAAAATTCACATACACACCAACAACACAAAAAGAATATCTACCTATTGCTATAAGTTTTATCGAGATCAATACATTTTACACGGATCATAATAAATTAAGCGAGGTCTTTACTAAATCTTCTAAACTGCTGCTACAAGTTACAACTACACGAGTTTGGTGCTGTTATAATTAATCATTCTTTTGGATTTCTAAACCAATCAATACTCTATCGTTTTTACTGACAAGATTTATCACATGGCTGGATTGTTTTAGAAATCGTTGGTACAATAGTACAATGTACAATAATAATATTAAATATATTTAACTTGGATTTAACCAAAATCACAGTTGAGAAGATAATATAGGTATGTAAATTAATAAACCTAAGAAGTAGGAAAGGCTCGACGAATTATTAATTAATAATAATTATTGGAATTGCTGTAGACAAGGAGCTTTTCCTTATACTATTTTCACTTAAACAACATTAATAACTACAACATTAAAAGTAGACCTTCTTTTGGTATTTCCACACTACTAATCTAGCATTAAAAATAAAAAAAAAAAAACAGTTTAATGTAAAATATTTAAATAAGTTATTATCACATTTATTACATTAGTTTCTAAAAGATTTAAGCTGGTGATACAGTTCGGTCCCGTCTCTTATTTGGGTAAAATTTAATTTCATAATAGTACCAGGTTGTTATGAGCTTTGTTTTTATAATTTGCTTAAAAATTTGGTATTATTTAAGTAGATGATTTTTTCGAACATATCATTAAATATCTTTCTTAAAAATATAAAATTGTTTTTATTTGAACAATGCGATATAATGGTTTCATAACCAGTCCGTCCCAAAGCTGAATGAATGATCACTTTATTTATTCACAAACCGTATATTCCTTTGTGGCACAAATTTCTTTAGAATCTAAAGAAAAAATCTCTCACGAATTCTGAATATTTCAGCGACATTTAAATGTCATCTTTATTAATATGGGATGAGCATAACAGCCAAACGTAGTTTTGATTTACTCTAAAATTGTTATCTCGAAGTAAGCGAAATTTGTTATTTAACATTTCGTGCATTTAGTAATAATAATGTATAATTTTATTTTTAGTATTATGTGTTAATTTTGACGGAGGCAAGCAAAGCTACCCTGTAACAAAATTACAACTAATAATAGTTTGAGCCAATTTTGACAAATTTTCAAATGTAACAATATACCATTAACAAATAAATGTAAATTTTGTAGGTACAGTAGGATGAACTATATACTAAAATGTCGTTGTCAATTTGCCACCTTAGACCTATAATCGCGTTAGTTTGAAAACTTGTAAAGGGCCAAAATTGACATTTTTGATTTCTAATATAATATAACCTTGCAGTATTGACACCACTGCACCGCTTCTTCCAACAACACATGCAACGTTGCTAGTTGTACTTTAAGATATAATGTCTGAAAAGAATATGGCAACGTTGCAAAATTTAAATAATTTAAATCTAAATTTTTTCAAGTATTTTAAAGAACTTAATAAGTTGTGATGATAACTTCTGAGGCTAAACAATGATAAAATAAAATATCAGATAAACTAATAAATATCTATTCTAGAGATTAAAAATCGGTCTGTAAGTACTAATTAGGTAGCATCCAAAAATTAAATTTTAACGCTATATTTATGTAGCTATGAATCGTATTTTGGCAATAGGTTAGGCAATACGCACATTTAAAAAAACTAATTTTATAATAATTTTACAGTCATAACAAGATTTTTACTTAAACTAAATTGTAGGTAATCTATTTTAAATTTTTGAGAGAGGTAGGAGTACAAGAGAGAAAGAAACATAGAGGTAGACAGGAGACACAGGAAGAACAAATATAGTAGATATTTAGACAGAGGTAGGTATTTCTGATTCAATGTCTTACAACTTTATAAGTAAATTATTTCTTATAAATGATTCTAAAGTATTCGAATACAACTATCAAAAAGGAATATTCGACATTTATAGCCGTTATTTGTAAATGAGATTAGAAAAAGCTGGTTAAACTCCAGTTCTTAGTAAATAAATGACACATTGTCATCAAAATGATTAAAATTATTATAAAAGGTAAGGACTATAAAGAAAAAGTGGTCTAGCTTAACATCACCCGACATTTAAATAATGAAATGATCAACTTAGAAGAAACAAACGTCACAAAATTTAGCTAGATGTCGCTTTTCTAGACCACTTTTCTCTTATTACTTATGTTAAAACATTGATTCCTATTTCTACTATTCATTTTAAAGTTAAGTGACACGGGTAGTGCAAAATTGCAATTATTTTGAAACTAGCTGTTATTCATAGTCGATTGAATAAACTTATGTTGAACATGAAAATAAATGTCAAAGTAACAAATCCCAGCTTTTTATTGCTAAACATTACGTTGTATGCCTGAAACTATCAGTACATTTTTTTTTTTCAAAAGCTGCGTTAAAACTATTGCATGGAGCAATTACTTTCAATTCGCCTCCAGCTGAGGGGTGAGTTACTGGGGTTCGAGTTGGTGTCCCCTACACTACAAGTTTTTGTCCTCATAATCATGAGGTCTGTCCTAATACTAGGTCGTCTCACGTTAGGCGTAACGACGCCACACGCGTCGCTTAACCTCCTTTTCACGGAAAGCGTATATTTCTTTGAGTGATGAGAAGGTCCCGAAGGAGGCAGAGGACAAGGAGCCCCAAAATTGGCACTGACTCTTTTGTGATGGTTGGGTGCCATTTCTTGAGGCAGATTAGCCACCACAAATAATTGATAAAAAACTTCATCTACTTTAACATTTTTCTTGGCTGATGTTTCTACAAAGGCACAGCCTGAATCTTGAGTGTCACAGTATAATTGAGCTTCCTCTGCAGTCACCGTCCTGAAATAATGAAACATCACAGGAATGCAGTAATAAGTTGCGCTTTCTCATTATTTCGTTTTTTCGAGTTGTATTGTGCTATTCACCTCACTACAATTACAACTTTGAAAATCTGTCGCTACGATTTATTATCGTGCTTTAATTCCAGCCGTTGCCGGCGATAAAATCGAACCTTCATAATGTGGAGAGGTTGTAAATTTATTAGGAGTATTGACTATCTGCATGGAGTGTAAACTGTAAAATAAAATCATTTCCGTTTCTTGAGTTTCCTGGTGTTTTAGCGATTTTATTTCCTCCCGTTATTCGCCGCTGTAAAACGAAACGAGTAAATGGGGCGATGGTTTCAGAATATTACTTTTAAAGATCTCATTTGAGCACCGCACCGGTGGGGAGTGCCCGAAGAATATGTTTAAATTACAAAATCACGCTAACTTTTTCTCTCGGGTTATGAATTTTAAATTGTATTTTTCACCCAAAGTAAGTTTACAAGCTTGATTTTTTTCACTTAATTAAACTTTTGCATGCTAAGAGCAATTAAGGATGATTCAGTTAATAAATTAATTAAATTTGCCTCGTTATCAACGCTTGGTAAAAATCCCGACGGGTTTGCATGGCATCAGGTATCATCGGCTGGTAAAAGAATTTTGAATTATTAATGTCGAATTTATCGATTTATTTATTAATGGGGATAACGTGTTTATTATTTAGCTTTTAAATATTCAACAATTTGACCACATTATTAGCCTGGTTAATCTCAAGCGTTTATTAAAAAGCGGACAATGCAGACAGACACAAATCAGTCAAAGTTACTCCAAAGATCATTTTGTTATTGCTAAATAAATTAACAAATAACAAAACGAGATTAGTTTAGATGAGCAAGATACCTAATGACAACTAGAGGACAATTTTTGTTTATTATAGAAACAAAGCTTTATAAAAGGTTAGTTTTCTGTTTTTCTTTTTTAATTTAATATGTATTTTGAAAAATTAAAATTACAAACCTACTGAAACTGCTCCATTTTCAAAACCTCTTGTTTTCTAGTTATCTTTATCATTATTTTCGTTCATTATTATTATGCCAATGAAATTTATAAATTTTGTATTTTTACAGATGAAATTTCCAGATTGTTTTATAAGGTAACGATGATAAAAAGCGAGGTGGTTGTACTTGACAGAAAACATTAAGACACCCTTATCTTCATAGCGGTTTGTGCCCCTGAAAGTGACGTCGTTCTAAATCTGAATGTATTTAAACTTTGAAGATGTTTTTATGTTTGTTCTTATCTTTACCGAAAGCGAAACATCCCTGTAAACACTTCTAAATACCTAAATGATAACAAGCAACCAAATAATACAAGAAGAGAAATACAACAATCCATTTTCAGAAGATGAAAAGGAATTATATATGAGTCGTTCCAAGTAAAGTGGACCACTCTGGAAGCCAACTAAAAATTCTTTGTTGCTCGGTGGCAACCAAACTAAAATGTTGTAGAACACTGTATGTTACAACCTCACAATTTATGTACGTTATTATAGTTATTATTAATGTATAACATTATTAAGCAGATTTACGTGATAATGATAACAAATTTTCAGACGGTGGCTGAAAGTAAATTTTTCGCTTTTCACACAAAAATAGATTTTAAACAAGAACACAATTCCCAAGAGCGGACAGACTATGTTCTAAAAATCTCCTCTGTATGATGTAAGAGTATTTAATAAAATATAGACTTGGACCTTTGGAATAACTAAATTGTTTAAAAAATTAAATGAAAATTGGTCTAACTTTGTTAAATTAAACAGATCGTTGTTTAGACAAATTATGAAATTTTATTTTGGTTTTTCTTATGATATCTAATCCCTATAGCGTAAAAATAAAAATAGAGGTGGGTTATTAATACACAAGTATAAAGCATACTATGCGTTCTCAATAAAATTGTAGAATGAAACTATCAACTTTACTGTACTACTAGAATTTCAGGAAACTGAGACAAGTCGTCTTTGATTTAATCAGTAAAATCAATTTCATTATTTTTTTGAGATACCCTGTATAAACAATTTGAACATTTCAAATGAGATTGTTCAAAATTGCGAGATGACGTCATCAACTTTTTGGAAGGAATGAAGAGAGGAATTTTGATTAGTGATTTACCATGTCCTCGATAACCGTGAAGAGTGTAAAAATTTGAGTGCCCTTGGTGTTGTATTTCTTGTTCTTATTTTTATAATCCTTTGCTTTTTTATCGTTAAGTGTTAAGGGGGTGAAGTAGAGTTTGAGTGTGTCTGCGTCTTTCCTTTTACTGCTTTCTACCCTGGATGTTGTTTTTAATTCCTTCCCACTCTATACCCCTTCTTTCCACAGCTTCCTTAATACATTTTTTTCATTTTCGTATTGGTCTTCATTTTTTGTTCTTCCCTGGTACCGCAACTCACAGACTTTTTCAATTTTACTTTTTCTTCACTCTTTCATTTATTTCTTGATCTATTTTCCATTGCTTCGTACGTATTATTGTTCCCAAATATTTGCAACCTTGTACTTGTTCTATTACGTTTCATTGGAGTTTTGTGTTGTGCAATTTGTTTTCCTGTTGTTTTTGTTTTTATCACAGTTTTGGTTTTTTCGAGATTTATCTTCATATAATTTATTTCTCTAAATTACTTTGTAGTTCTTCTGCTATTTTTGTATTACGGTTATGTCATTTACAAACACTTTAGTAGATTAGTTGCATCTGCCAGTATCCTAGTTTTTTCCATTGTTTTGTGGTTAGGATGCTTGCCCGGAGAGCAAGAGGCGTGGGGTTCGGATCCTACCGAGGCACAACATTTTTCTCTGCTTACTTACATTCCTTGATCTATTTGTCTTTTTTCTAAGGTTTTCCATATGTCCACTATTCTTATACGGTCAAACGCTTTTTCATATGTATAAAATGAACTCTTTCTTCTTGTTTATAAATTTGGTACTGATTTCAATCTTTCCTTCTATTCTTCTTTCTATTATTCGTACCAAGATTCTTGGATGCTTGATATTGATAGTGCCATACCGCTATAAATATTACAATTTTTCTTGTCCCCTTTTTTATATATCGGTAATATTATCCATAGTTCCAATCTTATAGTATCTTTATTTCTTGAATTACCTCATCCATTAGCTTGTTTATTTGTTGTTTTTCTGTTTTTTAAATATATTTTACCTTTTCGGGGGTTATATTATCCCTTCCAGGTGCTTTTTTATCTTTCGTATGGCTTCTGATAATTTTTCTTGTTATATTGTTTATATTTCATGTGATTTATTCTACTCCTCATATTCTTCTTCTTCATCTAGATCATCTTCCGTCAATTCTTGGAAATTTTGTCATCCCTCCATTATTTCCTCTTCATCTGTGATTACGTTTCCTTTCTTAAATTTTTATGTTAGTCATATTATATTTCTTCTTTTGTTACAGTTGCTTAAGTATTCCGAAAAAAATAGTTTTTGGTTTTCTCTGTAATTCTGGGTGATCTTCTTTCCTAATATTAACCATGATTCGTGTTTTGGTTTCTTTATTGCCTTCTTCATATTTTTTAGTTTTTCTTTGTACACTTCATAATGTTCTGGTTTCTTTTATACCATTTTTCAACTATCTTTTTTCTCTTTGATTATTAACTTTATTTATGAGACCACCATTCTGTTCTCTTGATCTTTTTACTGCTCAAGCGTAAGATAAGGAAGTATTGTAATCAAGCCCATTGGGCCACTGGCTACTTTCACATTTTCTCTATGTGTTATGACGCCTAAAGTACAAAAACATGGGTCTCCCGTTTTCGTTTGTCTGTCTATCCACCGTTCGTGTGCATTTTTTTAGACAGATAATCTCCAAAAATACCGGACTGATTGTTGTCAAATTTTATATGGTTACTATGAATACCATGTATGTATAGATTGTAAAACGCACTAAACTTTGTCTAATTATCCCCACCAATAATGTGATGACGTCACCTCAAAATTGTGCATAGAAAACTGGTTTTAAATTGTATAAGATAACATAGTCCTACACGTGTAGTTTATGAATCCGTGTTGATTATTTATCCGAGGCATCTAGACTTTTGTAAAAAAAATCAGAATTGTATAACAGTATTTTGCAATTTAATTTTGAAACTGCAAAACCGAATGCTCAGAAATTTTGTAGACGTTTTAAAGTTATCATAAGCATGGTAAATTTTTAATTAAAGTATATCTGTTTATTCCCTCCAAAAAATCGATGACGTCATATCAAAATTTTTCCGAATAAATCCCATCTAAAATGTGCAAAATATGATGAGATATGATTCCATCCATATTTTTGGAATTGCTTACGCAGGGTGACTCCAAAAAAAAAAAAGAAAATAAAAAACCGAAACGAAAAACAATTGAAAACTCGAGGAACTTAAATCGAAAAAGTGAAAAACTGGAAAATTTAAACTTGAAAACTCAAAAAATTGAAAAATGAAAAATTGTAAATCGAAAAATTGAACATGAAAAAACAAAAAATGATAAATTTCAACAATTTTAAAAAATATTTGTACTGTTATATGTATTAATATTAAACATATTTAAATTTATTATATATTTAAGCACTATTATCAAACTTTGCAAAACTATTTGAATGTATCTTATCCAACAATATATATTCTCATGTTATAAACTATATAGTACCAGAACAACATGGTTTTGTCAAAGGAAGATCGACTGTCACAAATCTATATGAATTTACTCAGTTTGTGTCTACTGCTTTAGATGATGGTTTGCAGGTAGATGTGCTATACACGGATTTGACGAAAGCGTTTGATCGTGTAAACCATTGTGTTCTGTTTAAAAAACTTGAAATGTATGGATTTTGTGATAATATATTGCTCTTATTAAAATCAATGATTATGGGAAGAAGGCAGTTTGTCGAGTACGGTGGATTTAAGTCTTTTGAGTTTATTGTAAATAGTGGGGTTGTTCAAGGCTCTAACTTAGGTCCTTTGCTGTTTGTAATTTTCTTCAATGATGTTGTAAAACATCTTAACTGCAAATGTTTCATATACGCAGACGACTTAAAGATAGTTAACATCATAAGATCTAATAATGATTGCTTAAAGCTGCAGGGCAATTTAGATAATTTTATTACTTGGAGTTGTATTAATAAACTAGAAATTAATAAAGACAAATGCAAAATCATGAGTTGCACGAGAAAGATAGATAAAATTAACTTTTATTATAATATCAATGGTGTACTGTTACAAAAGTGTAATGCATACAGAGATTTAGGAGTCATAATTGATTCTACTTTGTCTTTCGTCCCACATATCGAACAAATGGTTAATAGCTCTCTAAGAACGGTAGGGTTTATTATAAGAAATGGAACAGATTTTAAAGATGTATTTAGTATTAAAATATTGTTTTATACTTTAGTGAGAAGCAAACTTGAATATTGTTGCATAATTTGGATGCCTTATTATCAAGTTTATATTAACCTCGTTGAAAATGTATTACGAAAAATTGCTAAATTCATCTATTTTAAAATGTATGGTACTTATCCGCCTCAGCACTGTGATTCAAGAGCGCTATTTGATATTATAGGTGAATCCTCACTTCAAAGTCGTAGGAATATGGCATGTATATCTTTTATGCAAAAACTGATAAACGGTAACATATCTTGTACATCTATATTAGAGAGTATAAAGTTTGTTTGTCCACGTGTAAACTGTCGCACTCCAACAACATTTTATTACAAAGTACCATGTACTTATCACCATTTTAACAGTCCACTAATCAGATGTTTAAGACTGTCTAATTGTATAATACCTCATGGAGTAGACGTATTTTTTGACAATTTTTATAGTCCAAGACTTAAATTAAAGCTATTAACTGTTTGTAGAAATTTTTAATTGTTTGTAAAAATTTTTAATTAAGCGTATATATTTATGTATATTTAAACCACAATGTAAGTAAACGTATCATATCATATTTTTTCCTCTGTTCACTTTAAGAACCTGTTAGTTTTAAGTTGAAATTTGTTAGTTTTTTTTTTTCTGTATTAATGTTTACAAGTATGTACCTACTAATGTAACTCTGTGTGTTTCCACCATAGACGTTAGTCTGTTGGAATTAAAATTATTAAAAAAAAAAAAAAAAAAAAAATGAAAACTAGAAAAATTGAAAGTCCAAAAACTAACAAATTAAAAAAAAAAATGAAACGAAAAATTGAAAACTCAGGGAACTTAAATCGAAAAATTGCAAAATCTAAAAATTGAAAATTCAAAATTTGGAAAACTGAAAAACTGAAAAATTAAAATTTAACTTGAACAATTGAATAATTCAAGTCAAAAACGCTACGCCACTGGTTTTAACCTTTAACCGCGTGATCAGAAATGACTGAGTCTGTTAGCAGTACTTCTTAAACAAAAATGTGAACTTTTCTTGCTTTTATGTTGGCATAAAGGATGTAATTGTGACAGATACGTCAATCGTGACATGTGATAAATTTAAGTTAAGTTTTGGATACATTTTGCAAACTAAAAATGTCAACAATCTGTCAATCGTACCAATTTCAACTAAGTCCAGGATTGCCAACAGACTCGATCATTTCTGATCACGCCTTATCAAGAATTTGTTAATATGTAAATCAAAAATGTAATTTTACAGTTTCTGATATGTATTCCCTTGGAAAAATTGATGAACCCATTGGAAAAACTATTTAATGTTTATTAAAAAATGAATAAGTCAATTTATTTTATTGATTAAATCAGGAACTGTAAAACTGAATGCTTTAAAATCTTGCAGACATTTCAAACTTATCGGAAGTTTTATAATTTTTTAATCAAATTATACTGTTTATCCCCCTCCAAAAAATTGATGACGTCTCGCAAAATTTTGCCGAATAAATCCTACCGAGAATTTACAAAATATGAGTTTATACGTCCGATTTATTATTGGATTCATATTTTTTAGAACTGCTTATACAGGCGGGTGTCTCAAAAAATGTATTGTATTGATTAAATCAGGATCGGCTCACTCCATTTTCCCAAAAATTTCGAAATATGACACTATTGTTATTAGTATTACACTGCACCTATCAAAACTGCTATAATGGTAAATTGCAAAAATCTTGATGATGTCATCACATAATTTTGTAAAGAATAAACTCATTAGAAACATATGCGTAGCACCCTTCTTTACATTTACACACATACTCGTATTTATTTTAACTTATAGTGGTTCTCATAAAAGAAATAAAAATCGCAAAATTAAATTTTATAATTTTTAGAAAAAGTTGGATGTGTTTTATTGTATAGCAAGGGTGAGGAAAATTTGTCAAAATAAACTTCGACCAATTTTTGTTCGTTATTTTTGTAGTTCCACAAATTTGTCTTGCTGTATTCACTAGGTTATTTTTCTTTTATTCCAATTCTTTCTGGTTCCTTTAATTGCATTTACTGTTTTTTTTAAGTTTATAACTATTTATCTTTTCTTTCATTTTATGTTTTTGTTTTTCAGTTTATTCGCTTCTCTTGTGACTTCTACATTTTTTACAATTTTCCATTTTCTGTTTCTGATTAGAAAAGACTCTGTTATTTATTTTTCATTTCGACTAGTTAATTCTTCCGTATTTGTGTTTGCATTTAGTGTTGATTATTATTAAATCATTTTCCATATAAATTTCAATAATTATTCCTACTTTGTTCTTCGTTGGTACTACTTCTCTTTCTAAAAATTTTTCTCTGTCTGTATTATGGTTTCCTACTCTACCATTTAAGTTTCCCATTATTGTGATATTTTACTCTCCTTCATCTATTTTGTAGTTCGGCACAGAACTCATCTTTAGTTTCTTTTGTGGCATTTTTTTTTCCATAAGCTGTTCTTCGTAAGTATCTTCATTTCTATCTTTAATATTCTTTCATTTACATAGTCTTCTTTAGTTACGTCCTTTAGTTTATCTAGTGTTACTATTAATTCTACCCCTTCTTTCGCTCCTTCTTTTTGATCTACCCCTAACCAAAATATCCTTAATGTATTCTTGCCATACCTTTCTTTTTGTTTCTGTATTTTCTAGTATCTCCACTTTTTGTTTTACCATTTCCTCTACCAATTCCTCTTTTGTTTCTATACTTCGTATATTCCAAGTTCCTATATTTCCTGTATTTGCGTTCCTTGCCTCTTGCTGTTTGTATTATTATTATTATTTTTCTTGTTAAGTGGTTTATTCATTTCTTCTTCTATTATGGGGCCATTTTTGGGTAAAAATATTGCTGGACGAAATGTATACATACACATTAGATATGATTAATTTATTAAAACTTTGAGATGACGTCATCAAATTTTTTGTGAGGATGAACAGACACATTTTGCTTGATGTTTTACCATGTATACAATATTCTTCAAATATACCCAAACTTTGTTTTTTCGAAAATTACTTGTCTAATCAATTCAGCGGACGGTAACGATAGACAGATAGACGGAAACTTTTTTCGTACTCTAATTAAAAACTATGCAATGTCGAGAAAAGATTAAATTAGCCATTCTCAAACGGACTTTCTGATTACGTTCGTGAAGGAAAAGGCAAAGATATATCTGATTTTATGCGTCAAGAGAGGAAGAAACATGGATACCAAAAGATTAACATGAAAATATATGCAATAAGAGGTATAAACATTATTACAGCGCCGACATAAAATCATCTTATATGCGACTCGTCAAAATTACCAAGCTTATGAGGGTTTCTTGGGAGAAACATCAAGCCTTTATTATTTTATAAAGGCAGACATTCGCATTTTATCTTCAGTATGGCACTTTTAAAATTTAAAAATAACTTGAGAGGTATATCAGTTCGCTTTTTCAGGCTTAATTTCTTTGTTATTTCAACAAGCGTTTTCCGCGTTTCATAACAATGCCTCAGAGTGATTCACATTTAAGTACACGCACACGTATTTTTGCAGACGCCCGAGTAAAATTAAATCTGAAAGAAAGCTCACTTTAAAGAGAAACGAATGCTAAAAATCACTTCAATCTAAAAATTGTTTTTTCCTAAAGAGTAAGGAAATTTCATCACGTTTTTCGTTTTTCCGAATCCCACCACTGTTCCTTCAAAGCTTTCATTTTTATCAAGTTAATTTTCTCAAAATAACATAACGACATAATCGAGAAGGATGTCGAAAGTATACGTGCGGAGCATAAATTTCCACTAAAGCTATGGGTATTGCGTTAGATATATTATTTATAAGTTTCAAGTTTTCTATTTCAGCTTGACAGTTATTGAAGTTTACAATCAATATGAATGCGGTATGGGGAAAAAATAAAATGCAGAAAATTTTCGTGGCAGTGAGATGGGACAAATTACTTACTTCATTTCCTTATCGCATTTATTTCCTGCCAGGATCATTGGCACTCGTGGCAAAGTTTTTTTTCTCGTCAAACCGCCGCTATTCGACGACGCTCCAGCATTAATTTTCGTTTCTAATATCTGTTCTCGTAATCTTATTGCTTCTTCAAACGTTTCCCGGCTGTCCATGCTGAACACGATGACAAATAAATCTCCTAAAATTAAACGGAATTTTTACAAGAGAATAATGAAAATTGAATAACGAGCTCAAAAATTAATTAAAGTCGTTTTTCTCGAAAGCTCATTTGCCGCGACAGGAAAATGAATTGGGGAAATTGAAGCAATTTGATTTTTTCTTTTATAATTATCGCGTGCAAATTTTTAAACTCCCACGGAGTAAATTAGTTTAATGTCTATCTACCAAAACAGCATTACTTTAATAAACGCCTGCACGACACGAACGAAGAACGCTCCAATTTTGTAAAGTACAGAAACACAAACCAGCAGTGACACAACAGTTGTTGACAAGGTTGCAAAGTTTGCAAAGAGGTGCTGTGTTATGAACTAAACAAGCAAGCTCAACGTTGACAAAGACCTCGTTACCCGTTAAAAAGGACAGTCTCCGCATCGCAGGAAATGGATGGTTACCAGAGGTGTCTAAAATGTCTAACTGATAGATCTCTCCTCTAATTCTATACAGTTTTCTATGAAAATCTTCGATAGTTGGTGTATAACTTTCATGAAATTTACCGCCCAAAAATCTGGACACTAAACAAGTTTTACCTACTCTAGCTGATCCTAAAACCGATCAAGTTCTAAAAATTTTATTGTCAGTTGGTATTACGATGACAGTAATACCCAGCATTACTAATCTGAAACAGTTCTTTTGGGGTGGAATAACATCGTCACAAGAATTTGAACTTCCAGGGCTTGGTCCAGGTCCTGAGGTTACAACAGTCTGACAGTCTGTTGTCGCATTTGGAACTTTTTCGTTCTTTTTGGCACAAAACCAATTCGTGCAAGCGGTTAAATCCATAATTGGGTTTACTTGTGGAACAGTACATCACGGGATTTTAAAAGCTGAAAATAATTAAAGACAAATATTAGCGGTTTTTAATACACAACACCTTACAAATAAAATTTTCAAGTTAATGAGGTTTTAAAATTCCGTTTCAACAGTGTTCAGACACCTGTTGCTGTGTAAAATGACTGTTGTATAAAATAGTCGTAACTAATATATTTTTAAAGTTACTTATATTTATTTTACTCCAAAATTTGTCATGTAATCTATCATAAATTTTATATTAGGAGTAGTTCATTTCTTCTTCCTTCCTTTTAGGAAACAAGAAAGAAGGATAACTCTATATGTACAGATTTTCTTTACAATTCCAGTGTGGTGGAAATGATCGACTTTATATTACTCTAGACATACACTTTTTGAGGATTTTTCATATTATAAATTCTTTTCGGTACAGTAAGGCTCGGATTGTATGCATCAAAATATCGAAGAAATAGGCGCATAATATACACACATTTCTGGTTAAAATATGCACCACTTTATTAAAAACATGCAGCTAAATATGCAAATACTTAATTTTAATATGTTTAATAAAGCAAAATGACATTTTTAATTATTTATTGTTAAAGTACAGGTTTTGTAACTAAACCAACAAACGAAATGTTTCTCTAGTTCGGATAAGATGTCTTAATTACTGGTTTTTCCAGGTAAAGATTCTACCGAAATGTCTTGGTATATTTACTGAATAAAAGTAAAATTTGAAAATTTTACAAAAATATGCATAAATATGCACTTAATCGGTAAATGTGCAGTAAGATTGATAAGCAAAATATGCACTTTTTTAAAGCCGATTGTTTAAAAAAAGAAGTTATTTGACCAGAAAACATCTTTTTTCTGAATATGACGCATTTTAAGGAATATGCATTTTGCATACAATCCGAGCCTTTCTGTACAGCTAGTAATTTTGAAATAATTGTAATGAATTAGCTGAGATCAAACATCTTTTTTCTGAATATGACGCATTTTAAGGAATATGCATTTTGCATACAATCCGAGCCTTTCTGTACAGCTAGTAATTTTGAAATAATTGTAATGAATTAGCTGAGATCAAACATCTTTTATAAATAAATTTGTTCTAAACTATTGCGAAAATAACGGGTGTTCTATTGAAAAATCACCCAGACTAGGTGTTAGAATACCATTTGACACAAACGGCATGTCTGTTCTTATAACATATAACAGGTTATGTTACTCATTTTGAGAATTAGGTTCTGTCTGGTGTCTGTATCCGTTTTTATTAGACACGTAATCTTCGAAACTCTTGGACCGATTGTTGACAAATTTTGTATGTAGGTACATATATTAGAAATATCATGTAGATGGTTAAATGCTAACCAAAATTTTGCTAATCATACCCACCAACAATTTGATAACGTCATTTCAAAGAATTCTATCTTTATTTTATTTAATTGTTATACAACAATATCGTCCTATAAGTGTGGTGCACGAATCCGCTTTCAGTTTTTCCCTAACCGTCCAAATTTTTGCAAAAACATAATGCACGGTATAATAACAGTTTATCATTAGCGTAAGGCATCCCGGTCGTGGCCTAGTGGTTACGAGTCAGGAATGCGGACCGGACGTCGCGCGTTCCATTCCAAACTTGGCGGTTAGTTTTTTCTTTTTTTGTATCTTTTTCTCTCGCATTGTGTATTACCCATATTTATGACGTCATGACAACTTTTTTATTCATGAAATTACCCCACTTACCATCACCCTAAAGCAAAGTGAAAATAGGCCCCTCTTTATTTAAAAATATAAAACCTCCTCGGGGGCGCCAAATATCTTTTTAAAGAATATGAAACCTTCTCGGGGGCCCCAAATGTATTTTTTTTTAATAATGTGAAATCTTCTCGGGGGTTCCAATTGCCGTTTTTAAAAATGTAAAACCTTCTCGGGGGCGTCAAATGTCTTTTTTAAGAATATGAAACCTTCTCGGGGGTTCCGACTGCCTTTTTTAAAAATGTAAAACCTTCTCGGGGACCCCAAATGTATTTTTTTTAAGAATGTGAAACCTTTTCGGGGTCCCAATTGACTTTTTTAAAAATATAATACCTCCTCGGGGGCGCCAAAGGTTTTTTTTTGAATGTGAAACCTTCTCGGGGGCCCCAAATGTATTTTTTTTAATAATGTGAAACCTTCTCGGGGGTTCCAATTGTCTTTTTTAAAAATGTAAAATCTTCTGGGGGCGCCAATTTTTTTTTTAATGTGAAACCTTCTCGGGCGCCCCAAATGTATTTTTTTTAATAATGTGAAACCTCCTCGGGGGTTCCAATTGTCTTTTTTAAAAATGCAAAACCTTCTCGGGGGCGTCAAATGTCTTTTTTAAGAACATGAAACCTTCTCGGGGGTCCCAACTGCCTTTTTTAAAAATGTAAAACCTTCTCGGGGACCCCAAATGTATTTTTTTTAAGAAAGTGAAACCTTTTCGGGGGTCCCAATTGACTTTTTTAAAAACGTAAAATTTTCTGGGGGCGCCAATTTTTTTTTTTTTTTAATGTGAAACCTTCTCGGGGGCCCCAAATGTATTTTTTTTAATAATGTGAAACCTTCTCGAGGGTCCCAACTGCCTTTTTTAAAAATGTAAAACCTTCTCGGGGACCCCAAATGTATTTTTTTTAAGAATGTGAAACCTTTTCGGGGGTGTCATTTGACTTTTTTAAAAATGTAAAATCTTCTGGGGGCCCCATTTTTTTTTTTTAATGTGAAACCTTCTCGGGGGGCTCAAATGTTTTTTTTTTTTAATAATGTGAAACCTTCTCGGGGGTTCCAATTGTCTTTTTTAAAAATGTAAAACCTTCTCGGGGGCGTCAAATGTCTTTTTTAAGAATATGAAACCTTCTCGGGGGTCCCAACTACCTTTTTTAAAAATGTAAAACCTTCTCGGGGACCCCAAATGTATTTTTTTTAAGAATGTGAAACCTTTTCGAGGGTCCCAATTGACTTTTTTAAAAATGTAAAATCTTCGGGGGGCGCCAAATGTTTTTTTTTTAAATGTGAAACCTTCTCGGGGGCCCCAAATGTAATTTTTTTTAATAATGTGAAACCTTCTCGGGGGTTCCAATTGTCTTTTTTAAAAATGTAAAACCTTCTCGGGGGCGTCAAATGACTTTTTTAAGAATATGAAACCTTCTCGGGGGTCCCAACTGCCTTTTTTAAAAATGTAAAACCTTCTCGGGAACCCCAAATGTATTTTTTTTAAGAATATGAAACCTTTTCGGGGGTCTCATTTGACTTTTTTAAAGATGTAAAATCTTCTGGGGGCGCCAATTTTTTTTTTTTTTTTTAATGTGAAACCTTCTCGGGGGCTCAAATGTATTTTTTTTAATAATGTGAAACCTTCTCGGGGGTTCCAATTGTCTTTTTTAAAAATGTAAAATCTTCTCGGGGGCGTCAAATGTCTTTTTTAAGAATATGAAACCTTCTCGGGGGTCCCAACTGCCTTTTTTAAAAATGTAAAACCTTCTCGGGGACCCCAAATGTATTTTTTTTAAGAATGTGAAACTTTTTCGAGGGTCCCAATTGACTTTTTTAAAAATGTAAAATCTTCTGGGGGCGCCAAATGTTTTTTTTTTAATGTGAAACCTTCTCGGGGGCTCAAATGTATTTTTTTTAATAATGTGAAACCTTCTCCGGGGTTCCAATTGTCTTTTTTAAAAATGTAAAATCTTCTCGGGGGCGTCAAATGTCTTTTTATCACGCTTTTATTAGCTTGGGTTGTATCTATGTATGTATGTAACGGAATCTTTGAGCTTAATTTTCATCGGTTTCTAAAAGTCTGATCATCTTGAAACTTTGCACACGTCTCAAGGATCGATGACAATGCAATAATTTGAAAACAGTTTCCCATTATCCTTATTAGGACCGCCAGGATTTATAAATTCTTTTATGGATCCTGTGTAGTGGAGTAAAAGAGATAAAGCTATATACAAACAGAAATACAAACATGGAGGAAAATTAACTATTTGGGGGGTAAAACTAACCACAATGATGAATTGTGTCCCGTTGGTCCGTGAGGGCGATTGATTTCGAACTAATTCCCGTTGATCGATCATACGGAGACCACTGAGTGGTTCTTTCTAGAAAAATCTAAATAAGTAATTAATTCCCCAATTTATGAATTTGTCGCAGACTAAAAAATGAAAAATAAATAATAGTTTAAAAAACTAAAAAAACACGCTTTTATTGCTAATCGAACTAAAAACTAGAAAATAATTTTTAATGACAGAGTTTAATATTACAGTAGTAGAAGATCAAACAATCAATCATAATAAATCACCTCAAATTAAAATTATAATAAAATTTAAGTTATTAACAGAATAATTCAATTCAGAGTAAAAAGCGTGGGGTGCATTTTACTGCGGTTCATAACTATCCTCTCATAGATAGTTGCCAATAGAATGATTGTAATATTTAAAATATCAAGCACCCCACGCTTTTTACTCTGAATTGAATTATTCTGTTAATAACTTAAATTTTATTATAATTTTAATTTGAGGTGATTTATTATGATTGATTGTTTGATCTTCTACTACTGTAATATTAAACTCTGTCATTAAAAATTATTTTCTAGTTTTTAGTTCGATTAGCAATAAAAGCGTGTTTTTTTAGTTTTTTAAACTATTATTTATTTAAGAATATGAAACCTTCTCGGGGGTCCCAACTACCTTTTTTAAAAATGTAAAACCTTCTCGGGGACCCCAAATGTATTTTTTTAAGAATGTGAAACTTTTTCGAGGGTCCCAATTGACTTTTTTAAAAATGTAAAATCTTCTGGGGGCGCCAAATGTTTTTTTTTTTAAGAATGTGAAACTTTTTCGAGGTTCCCAATTGACTTTTTTAAAAATGTAAAATCTTCTGGGGGCGCCAAATGTTTTTTTTTTAATGTGAAACCTTCTCGGTGGCCCCAAATGTAATTTTTTTAATAATGTGAAACCTTTTCGGGGGTCCCAATTGACTTTTTTAAAAATGTAAAATCTTCTGGAGGCGCCAAATGTTTTTT